GTCCCCTCCTGTCCCCAGAGGTGGCTGTGGGGCCCTGTGTGGGGCAGGCCCTGCCCTTTGTGTAGGCTGGCGGGAGAGAGAGTGCTGTGGCAAGGTACCCACCCCTCGCCTTGTGCCGGCGGACGATTGTGCCCACCTGACGTTGACGGAACGAGGGCGTAAATGGCCTTGTGCTGAGGGGACTGTCCCCCCAGGAGTGAGGGAGCGATGCTGGAATCTGCGCTGGCGGATGAGCCGGATGTCAGGTCACAGCCACAGGCTCAGAGATGCCGCTCCACAAGGGGCCCTGAGGTTGCTCCCGACGCACTGAAGCTGTAGGGCTGGGGCCCGCAGGCTTCTCGGGACAGAGAGAGGATGTGTTTGGTCCGTCTGGATAATCCAGTGGGTTGCGGGAAGCCACAGCACTGTTCGGGGTACCTGGTCCCCGGGTGAATAGACTATCTTATCCATAAGACGCCAGGTGGGAAGGGACGCGGCCGAGCCACTGGAGGCTCCTTATGGGCCTTAACCTCAGCGCCAAGCCTTGGCCGCACACCGAGTGCCACACTTGGCCGAGAGTGAGCTCTCACTTGGCTCCAGGTCGAATCTCTGTCTGGAGATGGTTTTCATCCTGAAGAGGGCGCTGCAAGGAGACGTCTGCTGCCAGGGCAGCGGCCCCGCGGAGAGAAGGCAGTGGGGACCCCCACCTTGTGGCCCAGAGTAACCACATGTGCCTGGGGCTCGTGTGCTGGGTCATCCCTGGGTGACTCCTGTGCTCCATGACAGGTGATGTTCCCGTGCAGAGGGCAGGGTGCACCCCACAGGGATTGTCGGGGTCCCTTGAGAGCCTTGCACCCTCTTTGTCCCCCTGGGGTGGCAGGCAGCTGCAGGACAGGCGCGCAGGCTCCTCTGCCTCGGGGTGTAGCTGCTGGCTCCCACTGCCAGGCTAATTGCTGGTTGCCTTGTTGCTTCTCAAAACAAAACATGCAGCGGAAGCCACAGCGAGGGCCGCCCTGTACCTCCTCGGCTGTCCAAAGCTCAGGAGGTGGCGTAGGCTGACTGCTTGTTCTCGGGGTCCCATGCTAGAGCAGGGGGAGGGGAGTGTCTGTCCCCTCTGCCCACCTCCTCGTCACCGCCACCTCTGCCCCCTGACTCTCTGGCACCCTCAGAAAAGCCCCATGGGGAGGTGGCCCTGGGCTCCCCCGGATGTCCAACCCCAACGGAGCCCAGCCCCACCTCCACCCGGCTACCTTGCAGCTGTGCCCCTGTCTGGAGTTGGGTGATGTGACAGTGGCCTTGCCTGCTGGGGTGCCCTTCAGGGGCCTGAAACATGGAGAACAGGTTTGACTTTGCACGGGGTAGGGAGTTAAGCACCGGACAGTGCTTAGGAGGGGCCTGGTGGTTGTGACCGGGATGCCCCGAGCCATCTGAGTTTCTGGAAATCTCTCAGGCCACTGGGTGGTGCAGGTGGCTGAGGCAGGCGGGAAGGAAGGCAGGACTGCCCCTCCCCGTGGGACAGTGCAGTCAGCTGGGCCGGCAGTCTTGCCTGTGCTGAGGGTACAGGGTGTGAGCCTGGCACCACTGCAGGCTGTAGAGTTGAAGGGACGGGGGCCCAGCTCTTTGGGGGAGTAGGGGTGGGAACAACAGTGTGGGGCATGGCACCTACCCTGCCCCTTTGACAGGGAAACTGAGCCCCCAGGGGCATTTGGAAGCAGCTGTAGACCCTTGGTGTTAATGGGGCCCGGGCGGCCTCTTGGGGGGTGACAGGGCTCCACGCCCCAGGCGCTGCTCAGACCCTCTGCACACGTCGTCATATGCAGCCCTGAAGTCCCACGCCATCACTGTTCCTCTCAGCCAGAGGAGGCCTGCAGAGGCGCGTCGCCTATCCCAGGCCACGTGGTTGGTAGTCCCGGGGCTCCTCCTGGGCTCGGGTCCCCGCAGTCCTAAGGCCCAGGACTGGGCGCGCGAACAGCCCGAGGTGGCCCCTGCGTGCGTGGGCCTGTCTCCCCTCCTGCCCTGCTCTGCCCCGCCCGGTGTCCTCCCGTGACAGCCTGCAGCTGGGCGGGCTGGGTGCCACCCACACTCCTCCTGTCCCCTGCTCACTGACTGCTCTCGCTGCCACCCCCTCCCCTCCCTGCTGTGAGTCACCCCGCAGGGAGACGGCCCCGGTGGCTCCAGGGCTTGGGTGGATGGGGAGCCTCCCAGTTCCACCCGGACGCCCTCTTGCGCTGCAGAAAGGAAGAGGAGGCGATGGAGAGTGACCAGCAGAGATTTACCCACGTGTCCCCTCAGCTTGCCCTCTGGGGTTGTGGCCATGGCCCCTGGGTGCTGTCCACACAGGACATGGGCGTCCTCGAGGCCGCACACCGCTGGGTCTTGGGACGTTGAAGGGGGGCTGTTCCCAGGCCTCCAGCCACCACACCTGGCCTCTCAGAGCACACTTGGAATTAAACAGGTTGTCACCTGTGGCGTGCGCAGAGCAGATGGCACCATTATGTGGAGAGTGCTTCAGGGCAGTCACTGCCGTGTGCCTGCATCTTGGCCTTGGACAGCTTGGGGCAGCCTGTCTGTCACCTTTAAGGTGGCAGCTCTGTGACAGCCAAGGGATGCCACTGTCCCCACCCTGACTCCTGGGTGCCTCACACCAAGCCCTCCAGCGCCCGCCGACCAGCAGTAGCTGATGTTGGGGGCCTTGGGCTGTCACCTGCCCCTCTGTGTCTCTCCTTCCTCCAAAACACTGGCCCTGCTGCTCCCATGGCAGTGTTTGCCAGCTTGAGCAGAGGTTACAGCGCGCACAGAGGGCACTGCCACCCGCCTGCGGGCAAAGGAGCCCTGTCACGCCTGTCACGGAGCCGGAGTAACGAGAGGGCCTGGCCTCCGAGGCCTGAAGTGCCGCGTGAACCGGGTGCTTGGGAGCCACGGACAACCCTGTGTGAGTCACTCAGTGTGGGTGACCAGGCTTGGCCGGGGCCAGTGCCCCTCCCTTGTCCCTCCGTGACCTGAACCTCAGCACCGGGCCCCGCACACGCCACTGACCTCGGGACCCCCGGTGCCGAGCAGACACCCGCAGCCCAGCACCGCGCACTGCGATCCTGGGCTCTGCGGTGTGGGAGGAATCACCTAGAAAAGCTTCCGGCCTCGGCTTTCCCCGCGGGTGGAATCTCGGGGCACTGCGCTATCATTAGAATCCAGGCGGGCGGACGGATAATTGCAGGCTCTGATCTTTGAGTAAAATTGTTTTTGGCATTTTTTGTTTTGGGGTGTTTCTTCTTTGATAAGCGCTTGGATGGGGGTGTAAATGAATACTGTATTCTATCTGTGGGCTGTGTCTCTGGTAAGAGGACTAAATAGTGTGTTTTGCCCGAGTTTCTCTGCACCAGCTCCTCCCAGAGAGCAGGTGTGTGGTGTATGGTTGTGTGTGTGTGTGCGCGCGCGCACGCGTGCACGCCTGTCACCCTTGGGCTTGGTACTGGCCCACACATGAGCCCTGTCACCTTGGCGTGCTGGTTCTCACTGTGCCTGGGCTCTTGAAGGGCTTGCAGTCAGGGGCTCCCTCTCCGTGCTTTATGTCAGCATTGATTCCTGGGTGCCTCAGTGCCACCAGGAGCACCGGCCGTCCCCGAGTGCCCCGGCCCCCACTGTAGCAGGACCCTGGTGCAGATGAGGGAGTGGGGTGCGGCAGCACATGGGGTGGGGTCTTTCCCACGCACCTGGAGGCTCTGCCGATAGCTCCAGCTGGGTACCCGACATCTGCAGGGAAACGGGAGCAGGTGTGCGTGCAGCTCAGGGAGGATTCCTGGGGCAGGAAGGAGCACCTGGTGGATGCACCCCAGACAGACCTGTTTGCAGGACGCTGCCCCAGCGGCCTGTGTCCCTAGACCACGTCACATGTGCCTTGGGGCAGCTGAGCACAGAAGACTCGGCCAGACCAGGTGCATGATTTTCCCCTTGCACCCCGGGGACCGGAGGCTGCAGGCTGGGCTGAAAGCCTTCCAAGCATCCTCCTGAACCTGCGCTGGGTCTTCCCTTGCTCAGGGGCTGTGGCGGTTCCCTGGGGGAATCGGTGAGCAGTTAGCTGTCTCTGGGCAGGGCGGGCGGTGTGGGGTGTCGGTCTCGCCTGGAGGCGGCCGCTGTCCCAAGTGCTGAAGATTTGCCTGCTTTTCCTCAGGATCCCCCCACCCCGGTGGCCGTGGCCCAGGGAAGCACCTGCTTCCCCCTGCTCGGACACGACAGCTCGCGCTGGGTGCTCCCGGGGTCACCTTTCCTCCGGGCATGGCCTTGGCGGCTGGGGTGTGCTCAGCGGCCCCAGCGCTGCCCCTCTCCCCTCACCCGTGGGCTCTGGGGCTGGTTACACTCTGCCGCGTTTTAAACCCTCCCGGCACCTCTGCCTGAAATATAAAACTTTGACTGATACATTGGCCCGTCCTCTGGGGTCCTATGGAGGGACTGCCCCAGGGACACAGGCCCTTGGGAAGCAGAGCGCAGGCGAGCAGTGCCTGGGCGTCTCTGTCTGCCCCTCCCAGAGCCAGGTTGAGGCTGGTGCACTGGGGTGGGGGTGGAGTGGGGGGCTCTGAGCTCTGGGGCACATCCTCGCCTGACCTGGCTGACACAGTTGTGCAGACCCCACCATTGCCTTGGGAGAACAAATTTGCCATCAGCAGAAAGCCCCAAAGAGTACAGAATCGAGGTGGATCACACATGGACACTGCTGAGTCACGCGGGAGCTTTCAGCCCTGAGTTTGTGCACCCGCTGCCTCCCCAGCGTCTCCGCGCAGCGTCTGTCCCTGGACAGCAGTGCTGGCTGGGGGCCTGCTAGCGCCCACACCTGCCTCTCCCCACTGCAGCGAAGCCAGCCGAGTGTGCGCCCCAGAGCGGGAAGCGGAGGGTGTGTCCTCGGCTCTGTGGTTGCCGCCATCCTCTCTCGCAGCGGTGGCCGCACACCCTCGAGGGCCTGTCCTGACGTGGTGGTCGTGGGCTCACTGCTGGGCTCGAGGTGACACCTTGTCATTCTGTGTCCCCAGATCACCAGAAGCTGGAGAGAGAGGCCCGGATCTGCCGCCTGCTGAAGCACTCCAACATCGGTGAGCGGCCCTAGGAGGGCGGGTGGGCATTTTTGAGGATGCTCCTGTGGTGTTCTGAGCCCAGAAGCTGGGGCCAGTGGCCCGTTCGCTGGCTGGGATGTAGGGAGGTGTCTAAGGAGTCCAGGGCTGGCCCAGCCAGGAAGAGGGCGCAAGTGAGCGACCTGGAAGCTGCTTGCCTTCAGCCAGGTCAGATGGGGTCGAGTTGCCCTGGGCCCCAGCCCACACAGAGCCCCTGGACCCCAGTAGTCCAGCAGCACCCGTGGCTGCCAGGCTCCCTCCTGCAGCCTGGGATGTGTCCTGCAGGTTGCCTCAGAGCCCCCAGGCCCTAGGTCCTGCCACCCCCCGCCTTCTGGGCTTCCAGCTGAGGGTGTGTACCCGTGTGTGCCTGTGTCCCACGCCTGCCCCCTCAGGGACTGAGGCAGCCTGGGGCTAAGGCGTTGCCCGTGCTGGGGAGCAGGGAGACACCCTGGGTGGTGGCCTCCGCTGTGGAGGGCTGGGGCGTGGGAATTCACCAGCCCTCCACAGCTCCATGCCCTTTTGCCAGAACGGCACCCAGGAAGCTGGGTTAAAAGGGACACCTGGGGCACACCTGGAACACATTACCTCCAGCCCAGGCGCCAAGGGAGAGAAGGCCGTCAGCCTTGGGTGTGTGGAGTACTGGGTGCTCCTGGGTGGGTATGGTGGGTAGATCTTGGCAAGATGTCTCCTTGCCCTGGCTGGATGCCTGACATGGGTCTGGGTTGGTTCCAAGCAAGGACCTGGCCCCAGCTCTGGGTCTGGGCCTGGGAGCAGTGGCCGTTGGAGGTCCCCGCGGGGCCTTCGTTCCAGTTAGGGCTGGGCCCAGGCACGGCACATTCTGGAACCTGGAGGTGGTGGCCCGGGCTGCAGGCTCACAAGGAAACTTCTCTGTAGATCAGACTCTGAGACGTGGGAGGGAACTTGTAGGGGAGACAGTGGGGCTCCTCTCTCAGGAGCCTCACGTCTGGGCTGCCAGCCCCACGTCCAGACAGCAGCGGGGGGTCCCAGTGTCCCCGTCAAGGCCCCGGCACCAGAGACCAGCCCCACCTTGCAGAGTCCCCAGTGCCTCACAAGAGTGAGGGGACCCTGAGCTGGGGACAGAGCCTTCGACAGGAGACAGAGACAGACAGAGACAGACAGAGACAGAGGGACAGAGGCAGCGGGGCGGGGGTTGAGGTAAGAGGTACAGAGAGATAGGAAGTAGAGTATCTTTTTAAAATTCTGATTAAGTGTGCGTAATATTAATTGTTAAATACATTTGCAGTGCCGTGTACCCATCCGCACTGTCTGTATCCGAACCTTTTTCGTCTTTGGAGTAGAAACCCTTCCAACAGACTCACCGAACGGTCCGTTCCTGTTCCATAGACTCCCCGCCCCCGCCCTGCGCCCCTCTCTGGCCCCAGACTTCCCAGTTCTGCGTCTGTCTGTGCATCTGGCTGCTCTGGGGACCACAGGGGAGTGCACTGTATGGTGTGTGTCTATTTTGTGGCCGCTTATTTCCCTCAGCGTGGTGTCCTTGGGGTCACCCGTGTTGTACGTTTGTCAGGATTTCCTCCCTTTTAAGGCTGAATAACCCCTGGCAGGGAGTTACCGCACCGTGTATATCTGTTTGCCCTTTGCTCTTGTGAACAAGGCCCAAACATGTGAGTCTTGCTCGGTCCTGTGGGTCCTGTACCCAAGAGCAGGGTCGCTTAGTCCTAGAGGACTCTGGGTAACCTCCGAGGAGGCCTGTGCCTTTCCGTGACAGTCTAGGAGCTGTCACTTTTGCCTGGTCAGTTTGAAGCCCACACAGAAGGGAAGGGAATCAAGCTCCCCTTGGAAGAGAAGCATCGAGGGGTTTGAGACACGTTTTCTGCCCACCAAGACTGACACAGAGGTCATGGGCGTGATGTCCACCGAGCTGATGGACCCAGTGTGAGTAGATTCGCAGCTGCCTGAGCCCCAGCTACATCCATGGGCCTGCTGGCTGGCTCAGCTGCTGGCCCCAGGGGAGACTGAGGTAGGGGTGCTTCTGTGTCACGCAAAGGTGGAGGAGGCTGGGCAGTAGCAGGGCACTGGCTGTGGCCTCAGCAGTATCTGGTGCAGGACAAGGGGCCTTGCCTTGGGCCTCTCGGAGTCGGGGGACCTTTGCCTCCAGGGCCTGGGCCCCAAGTTTCCATAGTGTCCCATGGCAGCAGCGTCCCCGGGGGAGAGCCCCAGCAGGACAGATGAGGAAGAGTCCACTGGCTTGGCAGGTGTGGCCCCAGTGTGGGACTGCCAGCCTTTGGAGCCCCTGAAGCAAGCAGAGGCCCTTGGGTGGCCCAGGGCTCCCAGATCAGGGCCACCGCCCTGAGGGTTTGGTGACGGGGTCCTCAGCCCCAGAGTCCCCGGGGACTGAGTGCGGCATGTGGGCTCCCTGCTGGGTGAGGGGACAGCCGTGGTCACCTTGCCGTCTGTGGAATGTTCCTCCTGAGCCCAGACGGACTATGCTCCGTCTGGGTGTGATCCAGGTCAACACCATCCCCAGGGAAGGTTCCAGAATCCACGGTTCTGCAGGTGTATGAACGCCTGCCACATGCGGGGCGAGGTCCCAGGAGGAGACACTGCCGTCACGGGCACCTGCCCCGACTCTGTTTCGAAAGCACTTTGGGGTGGGCAGAGGGGGCGTCAGGAGAGCAGGCCCCAAACTGACCACTGCCCTCAGGCCTGGGGGTACGGAGCCGAGTCCTCAGCACTCCAGCAGGAGCTGTGGGACCCAGCACCCCCAGGAGCCCCTCTGTGCACTGCTGGAGCTGACCCAGCCGGGCCCTGGAGGTGAACCTCTGTCTCAGGGCCGCAAGCAGTGTCCCTCCCCAGTGGCCCGCTGAGGAACTGGGCTGCGGGGTGCCTGAGGGAGGGACACCTGAGGACAAGAGTGGAAGGACGCCTGCCGTGAGCCCTCAGGGCTCAGCCCTTGTAGCCCTGAAGGAAGAAAGCCCCAACAGTGGGTAGCTCCAGAGCACAGCAGAGAGCGGGGCGGGCGCCCCCTGAGGCCCTGTGCCCCAGGGTGGCGAGGGCAGTGGCTCAGGCCTGGGTCACATTTGTGCCGTCACCTGACCCCAGGCACCCAGACTAGTCCAGGACACCCTGGAGAGCTTTTTTATGCCACCTCTGCATATGGCATTCTTTGCTTACTGTTGTTATTTAAATAGATTTTGTGATAGTTCACTTCTGTGCTCAGCCTTGTCTGTGAATTCACGGGCCTCATGTGCTGGTTAGGTTTTCTTCTAAACCATTAAAATAAGCACCTGACTATTTTTAAAATGTTAAAAATGTTCAAGGAAGTGTGTGCGTCCGCACCTCCCTGACTTCCCACACGGATCCCTGGCCTCCCCGCTTCCTGGCAAGGAGGAGGACCCCCAGGCCTGCGCCCCTCAGCCCCTGGCTTCATCGCACTCTGCACCAGGGGAGGGTGCGGGGCAGGGTGGCCCCTCCAGGCAGGCTGTCCCCGAGGCACCCCAGGAGCCGTGTCCATGGACACCTTGGCCTTTTGCACGCGGCCTGGGCCTTCCGGGCTCTGTAGCTGTGAGCAGCGTGTCCCTGAGTGCAGGCGGCTCCAGGGACTCTGGTCACGCCCAGGGCCCTGGAACAGCTGCCAGGGGCCCCAGGTCTCGGGGACATAGGCCAGCCCAGGGGGTGAGGGTCCTGGTGCAAATGGGGACCTGGGCGCAGAAATCAGCTGGGGAGGAGCACGGGCAAGGCAAAGGCGAGCGTCCCCGGTGAGTCTGCTTTTGGTCCTGTGAAGAGCGGACCGTGCAGATGTAGCCCTGGCTCCCCGCTGTCCTTCGCCCGTGACTTTCTGCCCTGGGCTTGGCAATGCAGCCCAGGTCCCTCAGTGGTGCTGGCCCCTGTTACGCAGCCTCAGTCACCTGGGCTCCTCAGACCTGATGGCATTGGTGACAGTGACAAGTAAGGCAGCTCGTCCCAGAGCAGCCTGAGAGCAGGCACTGCTTGCGCCCCCGTCACAGGGCAGCAGAGCCAGGTGGGAGGCTGGGGTCACACGGCGGCGGGGAGGGACGGCCTGCATGCCTGGCTCTGCCCTCGGGGCTGGGGTCCATTGCTGAGAAAGGAAGGCCCTGGTGGGGGCCACTGCAGCCCGGGGGTCTGCAGGCAGGCCTGGGCCCTGGAGGCCACATCGGCATTTTTGGCCCAAGGACGCCATCAAGCTGGCTCCCGGAGGGCCAGAGACAGGAGCGAGGGCCCTGGCAGCCAGTTAGAAAGTAGGACAGCGCCAGAGGGCAGCAGGAAGGGGCTGGAGCTGTGTGGGCTGTTTGCTCCTGAGGCCCTGGGGGCCTGGAGAGGCAGGGAGAAGGTGCCATGACCCCGTAGGGGCGAGGACAGCAAGGCCTCAGAGGCATCTGCCTCTGTCCCAAGGAGTGGAGGGGCTGGGGCCAGTGCAGTGCAGGCCCTGGAACCAGACTGACCTGATCACAGCCCCACTCTGCCGTCCATAGGCTGTGTGACCTTCCGCTGATTACTCAGCCTCTCTGTGCTTCAAGGATGTCAACATTAAGTGAGCACTCAGAGCTGCCAGGTTCCAGCACAGGGCTGAGCCCGCTGTGAGAGAAGCGGGCCCAGGCAGCCTTAGCCCGGGTGTCCCCGCTCCGCGCAGGTGTCTCAGCCAGCCCAAGCTGGCCGTGCTGTCCCCACTCGCCCCTGCCCTGCGCTAGGCAGGTCTAGGGTGGGGAGCGTAAAGCACACACATCTTTGTAGGCAGCCAGAAATGAGGGCATGGAGGGCACAGAGGGTATGGAAGGTCTGGGGCCAGGGCTCAGGCTCTGCCCTGTGGTGTGCCCCGTGGGGCTCTGAGGCTGCCCTCCCCCAGGGCGGCGGTGAGCACCCCTGGGAAGGATGGGACCGTGGGCAGCGTGCACCCTGCGCCGTCCCAGGGCCCTGGAGCTGCTGCCCAGGCTCAGCGCTGGTGTCTCCTGGTGACCCAGGAGAGGCGAGTCGGCAGGTGGAGGGTGGGGAGGGCAGGCGCTGCGGAGGCCCGCAGGGTCCGAGCTCCCCGAGCCTCCACCCTGCCCTCCGCGGCCCAAGAGGAGGCCCGCGAGCGGCCGGGCTGCGCCAGCTCACGGCTTCTCTGTCCCGCAGTGCGCCTGCACGACAGCATCTCCGAGGAGGGCTTCCACTACCTGGTCTTCGATCTGTAAGTGCCGCGCGCAGCACCCGCGCCCTCCCCCGCTGCCCGTGCTGGGCCAGGCCAGGCCGGCCGCCTCCCCAGCCCCACACCCAGCCACCCCTGGGTGTGCCTCGCTGCGCCCCCCCGGCTCCTGGCCACCCGGCCTCCCTCGGCTCCTGGGAGTCCTGCAGGGCCTGAACCGAGCGGGCGGCCCCTCCTCGCAGGGTGGCGGCGCTCACTCACCCTCCCCGCTGCACCTGACTCCCGGGACTGGGCGGTGGGGGCTGGCGTGAGCGTGTGTTCATGAGTGGGCAGAGCACTTCGCCTGTGCATGTGTGGGTGTGGATGTGCGCGGGCACGAGAGCACCAGTGCGTATGTGTGGGGCACATGCGTTGCTTTGCGTGAACATGGGTGGGTGTAGACATGTTTGTGTGTGTGTACAGGTGTGGTTTGTGGGGGTAGATGCATGTGCCACACCCGTGTGCCTGTATATATTCAGGTGTGCATGCATGTGCATGCGTGTGCACCATGAGCACGTGTGTATGTGTGCATATGTATGTGTGTATTTGTGTGTGTGCCTGTGTGTTCGTGTGCACGTGTACATGTGTGTATTGTTGCGTGTTTTGTACGTGTGTGTGTGCGCGTGCGTGCAGTAGCTGAGGAAAAGGCGCTTGGGCCAATTCCGCCTCTCACTTCCTGCCGGATTTAGAAACGGTGATCTCATCCCCCTCGCTGCTGACGGCTCCCGCTAAGCAGCGCTATACTTAGCTGTTGGCGAATCAGGGCTGCAGCCGGACCCTGGGCTGGAGGCCGTGGGCCTTGTTCTGCCCCTGTGGCTCCGGGTGGCCTTGGCCAGGGAAGCCCAGCTGCAGTGCTGTTGTCATGGCAACCCTTTGACAGACCAAGCGATGACCAGAGGCACCTTCACAAAGGCTGCCCGCTCAGCTCATCCTCCCTCACATGACAGTGCCCAGGCCACGGGGTGGGGGCACAGGTCTGAGCAGCCTCCACCTACGTGGGATCCTCTGGTCAACAGAGGCAGGGCCCTCCCTGCTGGGCTCAGACGCTTTTTCAGTGTCCTTGTGTGTCCCACAAGATCCTGCCTCGAACTGCCAGCCAGGTGATCAGACCTGGGCACAGCCACTGCTACCTGGCCGAGGCCATGCCCTGAAAGTCTGCCCCACGGCTGGGTCGGGCCAGGCTAAGTGCCACCCCGTGCACCCCAACACCTCCACCAGCCTCTTTTCCCCGGCAACAGAGAGGCCCCTGGGCTGAGGATGCCCTGGACAGGACGGCTCTGGGGACCAACAGTTGGCTGTAAAGACAGAAGGAGAGAGAGGCGGGTGTGTGTGCGCGCATGTGCATGCATGCGTGCCCATGGGAGACACTGGTCTGAGGCCAGGCAGTGTAGGGACGGCGGGGGGTGTCCAGAAGACCTGCATAGCCTCCTCCCAGACTGCTGTGGCCTGCAGGGAGTAGTGTCGGGGTGGGCTGTTTCACCTGCAGGGGCCCTGATGCCCTTGGCGGTTCAAGAGCCCTGAAGATTCTGGGGCTGCCAGGGGTCCCTGCTCCCCATGCTTGGGGCACTGCAAGGCTGGCTGCCTGGGCTGGAACCCGGGGGAAGAGGGGCCCATGCTGCTGAGGCCGCAGCTTGGAATTGGCCACAGGTCCCCATGCCTCCTGGGGAGTGGGGCAGAGGCGGGGCCTCGCAGACTGGGCCACCTGTGTGCGTACGCGGTGCCCTGAGGGTGTGTATGGGATGAAGCCCTGGCCCAGGGCCCTGATGCCTCAGCCATGTCCTCAGCCCAGACTCCAGATCTGCAGCAGTGGATCAGCGAGCTGGGATGCGAGCCAGCCATGCACACGGCTCAGGGAATGCCTGGCCCTCCTGCTCCCCACTTTTGTACGCACACACGCACACATGTGCACTCCCACACACACACATTTTGTCCTCATAGTGCCGCTTCCACTGCAGGGACGGGCACTCTGACAGGTCCCGCAGCTTGCTGGACCCGGCCTGGGTCTTCTGAGCCTGGGGCTGCTGCTCCGGGATGGTCACCCCTCGGGTGACCCCGCTCTGATCTGCATAAGGCCCTTCCAGAGGCAAAAGGAGACTTCAGAGCACTTTGGCCAAGGGTCCAGAGAGGCACTCAGGGCGGTTTGCCGGAGCAGTGTCACGTTCACGCAGCACAGCCTTGCTTTTCTTTTTCTCCAATGCTGGGCGCGGCACCCACTTGTGCCAGAGTCACTCCTGGCAGTCCCTGGTTCTCCCAACTGCTTGGGTTGCCCTGCCATGGGCATAAAAATGAGAAAGACCCAAGCACCACTTCTAGAATGGACAGAAGATGCTGAAATGGGGGGCTGGAGCACGAGGGCCTGGGAAGAGGCCCCCAGCCCCCGCTTTCCTGCAAGATCCCCCTCCAGAGGGTGGGGGCCTCTTGGTGGCGTCTCCTGCAGATTCAGAGTGTCCCCCCCACACACAAGTTCCCCAGCAACTTTCTGGATCCTCAGAGGGCCTCCAGAGAGCAGCTCCTGCTCCAAGGCCCACTTTGGCCACATCCCGATGGCCACTCCCTGGCCACTCCCTGGTGGGGACACAAGGCAGACACACATGTGCGTGCACACACGCCAGCGTCTCTGCTGTCCTCATAGAGACAGCGTGGGGCACCTTCACAGCTTGGCCCATTGGGGAGACCCCGTCCAGGCACCAGGTCTTCTGGCCCCTCCACTGCTGGGGGCACGACTCAGGCCCCAGGGTGTTTGAGGAGGGGGAATCAGGTCTTCTTAGACCTAAAACTAGAGTAACATGGCCTGGGTGTACCATCAGAGCGCCCTGGCCGAAGCTCTGTGCTGCCCGCTCTGAGGAACTCGCTTAGATCCCAGAGACTCACTTTCCTTGTGTGTCATGGAGCATAGACGTGCCAGTGGCAGAGGGTGCTGTCAGGACAGAAGTGTGAAACGTCCCATGTGAGTGAGTGAGCACTTGAGAAGCCGTCAGCCCCAGGGGACGATGGTACTCGGGTGGACGTGGTGATGGCGGCGATGATAAAGGTGACAGCGGTAATGACGGAGGTGGGTTTGGAGGTGGCTGTGATGTTGGTGATGGAGAAGTGATGATGGTAGTATGGATGGAGATGAAAGTGGCAGTGAGGTGGCGGCAGTGGTGACAGTGAGGATGATGGGTGATGGTAACAGAGGCAATGACAGTGGTGATGCTGGTGGTGGGGGTGATGGTGTTGATGGAGATGGTGGAGGTGCTGGTGGAGGTGCTGGTGGTGGAGGTGGTGGTGGAGGTGCTGGTGGTGGAGGTGCTGGTGGTGGAGGTGCTGGTGGTGGAGGTGGTGGAGGTGCTGGTGGTGGAGGTGCTGGTGGTGGAGGTGCTGGTGGACTTGGTGGTGGACGTGGTGGTGGAGGTGATGGTGGAGATGGTGGAGGTGGTGGTGGCAGAGGTGATGGTGGTGGAAATGTGGTGATAGAGGCGGTGGCACTGGTGACAGTGGTAGGGGGTGGTGACTGGATGACACGGATTCCGGAATCCATGCCCCATGTGCTTTCACTGCAGGGTCACTGGAGGGGAGCTGTTTGAAGATATTGTGGCACGAGAATACTACAGCGAGGCCGACGCCAGGTGGGCCCCTCCTGCCCCTCGCCCCGCCCGCGCTCTGCCCAACTCCTGCCCCTTCTGTGACCCACCTCTGGCCCTGCAGAGGGCAGCTGGGTGGTAGTGCCAGTCTGCCATCAGCCCTGCCAGGATTCTCTGAGGCAGTAGGGGGGCAGGAGCAGGCTGTGGGCCTTTGATAAGCATGGAGGTGTGGCCTGGGGGGTGGGCCTACCTGCTGCGTTATCTGGGGTGCCCTTCATGGGGTGGCTGCTTGGGGAGAGTGGTCGTAGGTGTCCCTGAGCCTGGCTTTGGATGTCCCAGCTGTGGCCCATGATGAGTCCCGCTTGGCTACCCCTCCTCTGAGATGAGCAGCTTCCAAATGCTTATCCCAAAAAGCCAGGCCAGGAGTCCCCTTCCCTGGTGTCCTCTCGGGGCCACCTGTCGTGCAGCTTGGCACCGTGGAGCTGGCTGGGAAGGATGCTGCTGGGTGCCCTTCTGGGCCCCTGCGCCTTGCACACTGCGTTCCAGGGAGGGAGGGTCAGGGGGTGCTGGGACTCAGCATAGGGCGGGCCACCTCCCCTCTGCAGCCGGGGTAGCGTTCACAAGGCTCAGCCAGGCCCCTGGGCTTCCAGCATGGGGTGCTACAGAGGGATGTGTGTTCCATCCTGCTAGTGGTATGGCTGCCAGGGACCATACTGAGGTGGGCCACACTGTCACCTGGGGAGGTGAAACCACAGTGGGCCCTGACCCTGCTCAGGGGCAGCTGGGGATCTCTGGGCTGTGTCCGCTGCTCTGCCTCAGACCCGCATTCAAAAGAGAAGAAAACTGCAGTGGTGGTGGAGGTTTTTTTTTTTTCTCTTTTTGAGACAGTCTCGCTATACAGTTTAGACTGGCCTTGAATTCACTTTGTAGCCCAGGCTGGTCTTGAACTCTCTCTTTTTTTTTTTTTTTTTTGGTTTTTCTCTGGTACCAGGAACCGAACTCACGACCTTGCCCATGCCAGGCAGGCGCTTTTGCCGCTGAGCTAAATCTCCAGCCCCTCGAACTCTCAATGATCCTCCTGCCTCAGCCTCCCAAGTGCTGGGATTATAGGCATATGCCACCACACCCGGCCTCTGTAGCTTGTCTGTTTAAGAATTGTTATTTGCAGTACTGGAGATTGAGTTCATATGAGCCTTATCGCTGAGCTACATCCCCAACCCTGTGTGTTTGTGATTGTGTGTGTGTGTGTGTGTGTGTGTGTGTGTGTGTGTTTGGTACTGGGAGTTTCACCCAGGGCCTTTGCACTGAGCTGCACCCCCTTTTTCATTTATTTTGCCGCAAGGGTGTTACTAAGTTTCTAAGTTACCCAGACTGAGCTCAGTCTTGGGGTTTTCCTGCCTCAGCAGCCGAGTGCAGGGGCTGCACATGCGCCACGTGCCTGACAATGGTGAACACACATCTCTAATCAAGAAAATGAATGTCAGTTTGTAGCTTCCTGTGGCCGTGCCCTTTGTCACAGGCCTTGAGTCCCCGTTTGAAGTGTGAGCGTCCTGGTACCACTTGGGCCTGTCCCACACAGCCTGGCAGCAGAGGCCCAGGCTGGCCAGGACGAGGGACTCTGGGGCAGGCAGGGCTGCGGCTTCTTCCTAAGGAAGGGCTCTGGGTCTTGCACAGTAGCCCGAAAGCAGCCTGTCCCCTGGAGAGGAGGAACAGGAGGGTTTTTTGTATTCTGCCCGCCTAAGAAGCAGGAAGTGGAACAGATGCCCTGGCCCTGCTCTGGGGATGCCTGCTGGGCAGGTGGACTTCAGGGTCCTCAGTGGCTCCTCCACGCTGTCTAGGAGGAGCCCAAGCGTGGGCCGAGTTCTCTGAGGGTGCCAGGCGAGGGGCCAGGGCCCTATCAGCCCAGCAGAGACTCCGGTCACAGATCAGCCCCAGGACTCTGCCGGGCAGTGTGTGGGCCTAAGCGCATGGATGCTGCCCGGGCCTGGTGTCCCCTGTTGCCCACAGCACCCATCAACCCAACCCGCCTGCCTGTACTCACCTGATCCTGCCACCTGTGTCCTCACCTGCCCTCGAGGCCTTCATACTCGCCCCCCCAGGTGGAAGCCAGAGGAGGCAGCCCAGAGGGGCTTGTACACTGGCACGCAGCCTCAGGGATGGAGGGGCCTGTGTGCCCTTCCAGAGCCTCTACCACTCTGCTCCCTGAGGGGAGGACCCTGGCCTGATCTGTTTCTGGCACACTCACAGCGCCCTCTGGTGGCCCTGCTGAGCCAGCTCGGCTGCAAGCACCAAGCCGCCTCAGGGAGGCTGGGGCTTCAGGGTGGTGGCGTCCTGGGAGCCTTTGGCAAACAGCAAAGTTGCAGTGGGAAGAGCTCTGTGCTCCCACTGGGCCCCTCACACCCTGCCGGCGTGATGGCAGGGGCCTCCCTGCCCCAGGGGACTCCATCTGGGTCCCCTGGCTCAGAAGAGATGGGGGTCTGTCCCACTGCCCCCCCATTTCCTCTTTGGGATTCTGGGCTCCTGTCGGGGGCGTGCCATGACCTGAGAATCTGTTTTAGGTTGCATAAGGAGGGGAGGGCACAGGGAGCCCTAGGGAGAGTCCCCTTCTGGGCTGCCCACAGATATGGCCCCTGTCCCTAGCTGCAGGGAGGCCCCTCATGACGTGGCCTGCACAGAAGAGGGTGTCATAGTTACATTCTCATCACTGGGACAAAATACCTGACACTCACAAGTTGAAGGAGAAAAGGTTTATTTCAGCTCACAGTTTGTCGTGGTTTCGGTCTATAGACAGCTGACTCTAAGGAAAGGCAGCATGGCAGAGAGGCATCACAGAGGAGAAAAAGTCCATGGCAGGGCAGGCAGAGGGCAGTAGCAGCAGCAGCAGCAAACCTGCCTGCCTTGTCTCCCTTTATGTTCTTTTCTTGTGTGTGGGGGGGTGCTACCAGGAATCAAACTCAGGACCTTGCACTTGCTGGGCAGGCACTTACACCGCTGAGCTACATCCCCGGCCCTCTCCCCTTGTATTCTGGCCAGGCTGGGTGCCACCTACACCCAGGGTGGGGCTTCCATTATCTGCACACTTCACCCAGTATCACAGCCTTAATCCACATTCACACAGCCTAATCCAGCCGCTCTCGAAACTCCCCACCTGTGACTGCATGAGGCTTTGGGGCACATCTAGATACAAGCCATGTGGAGAGGGACAGCCTGGGGCAGTAGTGACTGATGGGCATCCAGTTGGGAGCCGTGGGGTGTCTGCCCCACAGGCTTCACTGACTGGAACTCTCAGTAGAAGTGTGGAAAGCAGGGAACTCAGCTCCCCTTGGGTGGAGAGGGAGGCAGAGGACCTAGTGCCAGGGCAGGGTGGCGCTATCTTGACATTCACAGGTCTGGCTTGGGCAGGTGTAGTGAGGGTCCCCCAGGTACCTGCCCAGTGCACCCCTCAGATGAGTTCCCACAGGGCTGTTCTCAGGAGGAAAAGGAAACAGACTTCCTGAACTCATTTCTAAAGGGGAAGTAGGATTTTTATTTTGTAGTTTATGGGAAAGTTTGAAGGATGTTTAAGTCTTTTGCAAAACAGAGAAAACAACATTCAAAATATTTAGAACGTGTTTAAAAAAAAAAACTTAGAAGCCAGGTATGGTAGCATGTGACTGTAGTCCCACCTACTTGGGAGGCTGAGGCAGGAGTTTAGGGGTTGTCTCAGTTACTTTGCCCTCGTTGCTGGGACAAAATACCTGACTCCCAAAATGAAGGAAGGAAAGGTTTATTTAGTTTACAGTTTGTGGAGGTTTCAGTCTGTACTTGGCTGGCTCCAAGGCAGAGTGGCACATGGCAGAGGGCAAACATTCATGGCAGCTGAAGACAGCAAAAGCTGCAAGAGCAAAAGGGAGGAGCAATGGCAAACAGCCTCTTTCCCTCCCTTACACTGTATGCAAACTACCCGCCCCAGGGCGGGTATAGCTCTCACATCCATAATTCCAACATTGGACCATGAATCAATCATAAACTCTAGAAGCCTGTCTCATGACTGCATGTGGCGTTGGGGGGACACCCAGACACAAACCATAACAGGGGTTCAAGGTCCAACTAGTGACAGCTGAGTTCTCACTTTGAAAAAATAAAACCAACAGCAATCAATCTGAGTCAAGAAGGATGTTGGAGAGGATCTAGGGAGACGCTGACCGTACCCAGAGGGGTGCTTCCCAGACTAGAAGAACATCCAGAAGCCTACTAGGGCCCACGTTGCTGCTTGGGATTATCTGTCTGTCTCTCTCTCCCCAGTACTGGGGATTGAACTGCACACACTGGGCAAGTGCTCTACTACTGAGCTATTCCCCGGCCCTTGGGAAGGATTTTTGACCAAAAATTGACTTTCTAAGCTGTGCAGTGTAAAGCAAAGCCTCAGAGGGGTCAGCTCTGCCCAGGGAGAGGGCCAGGGCTGCTCTGCATGGCTGTCCTCTGCCCCGTGCAGGCCGGCGTTGTCCCTGTGAGCGGGCACAGTGCTGGCACCCGTGTCCTGGGGAATCCTGAACAGCTTAACCAACATGTTCATTCCAGGCACAGGTGACTGTCCTCGGGGGCGGGGGCAGTGTGACACACATGATGAGGGGCTGGCTGCTGCCTGTGGACATGCAGAGAGATCTCTGGAGCTGTTAGCCTGCCAGGAGGACAGTCAGGGAGGACATGGGGTGAGCGGTGGCCATGTGCCGGGGGATGGCATCAGGACGGGTCGCGGAGTGCCTGGCCCCAGGCTGCCGCAGGACCCGAGAAGGTCTCTCAGAAGCCTGAAGCTGAGGAAGGCTCACCGGAGAGAGATCCAACTCCCGCCACGGGGTGGACTTGAGGGATGCGTGGGCAGGTGGGGCCTCTACTGGTCTGTGGAGGTGGCACCTCCCGATGCCATGCCTGGCAGAGGGGAGCCCTATGGGGCTGGGTGGCCACCTGATGACTGAGGGATGGCTGGCACAGAGGCCTAGGACACACCAGGGCCCAGAGTGCCTGCAGGGCCCAACCATCCCTGCTGTGCAGGAGTGCATCACAGGCCTGTTGGCCACTAGGGGGCGCTCTGTGCTCTGCAGACCAGAGGGTGGCGCTTGGCCTCCACCTCCACCCGGGGAGGCCTGGGGTGGGGGCTGAGGTCTAGCAAGTCCGCAAGCCTCACGTGGTGGACAGAGTGACCCCAGGGCTGCAGGGGACCAAGCACCACCCTATGAGAGGTGGTTGGGGACCAGATGCGGAGACAAGAGATGGCAGCAGGCCGAGGAAGGGGCTGTGGGGAGTAGTGGCTGCTGACCAACGACGCCCCCTTTGGAGCAGCAGGAGTGGCAGAGGGGTGAGCAGGTGGGGAGATCCAGGGCAGTGGGGTGGTCAAGGGATTGAGGTTCCAGCCCTTGGTGGCTGAGGACAGACCTCAGCCGCCCGCCACTCCATTAGGGTGCAGCAGGGTGCACTGCACCCTCGGGTGGGGCTGGGTGGGACCCCGCACCTGGGCCTGGCCCCAGGCATTGCGTGCTCGGGGCCGGGTGCCCTGGGCCTGCTGCGATGAGGGCCAGGGGCCGGGCAGGTGGCCTGAGGCAGCTGGGAAGGGCCCTGCTACAGACCCCTGGAGAGCGGGACTCCGTGTTTGGGCCTCCCTTGCGGAGCAGCGGCAGTGCCGGGAGCCGAGCTGGACACCCCAGGGCTGGCAGCGCCCAGCTGCCCTGCTGCCCCGCACACAGCCTCTCGCCAGCGGGCATGTCCGTGTCTGTGTGGGTTTCAGTGAAGTCACGTGCACCCTGGGCACCGTCACCGCTCCAGAGCTGGGCTTCGGCCTGGGCTCCCCGCACGCGGTGGCACCTGTGTGTCTTCCTGGCCCACTCCGCCTTCCCCGCCTCAGTTTCCCCTCCGCCCGGCCCCCCCCCTCGCCCAGCCTGGCTTACAGAGTATAGGTCAGCCTGGCGCCTGCGGCTGAGGGTCAGTGTGGCCAAGATGAGCTGGGGGGGCACCCCAGGGATGGGTGTCCCCTGAGAGTGGGCTGTGGGCCTGGCCCCACCCCACAGAGCAGGTGGCCGGGGCCACGGAGGCCCTGCCGGGCAGCATCCCCCCTCAATGCCCTGCATCATCTGCATGTCCCCCGGGCTGGGAACCGAGCCCCGGCCACCCCCGCCCGGGCCACTGCTCTAACCTGCCTGCCGTTTGCTGCAGTCATTGCATCCAGCAGATCCTGGAGGCCGTACTCCACTGTCACCAAATGGGGGTCGTCCACAGAGACCTCAAGGTGAGTTCCGACCCTGCTGTGCGCGGAGTCTGTTGTCCACACTGCATGCTGCTGAGAGGCGGGGCATGTGCAGTGAGGGCCGTGGGTGCGGGCAGGTGTGCGTGTACGTGTGTGTACGTGCCCGCGTGTAAGGGCTCCTGTGTGCCACGTGTACACAGGTGCCTGTGGGCCTGTGTGCACGTGTGTGTACTTGAAGGCCTGTGTGCAGGTTTGTGTGCACATATGTGAGAATGTGCACTGTGGGTGCATGGAGGGGTCTTGTGTACGTGTGCACACAGAAGTGTATGTACATGGAAACATCCGTGCGTGTTCTCTGCATAATCTGTGTACACACATAGGCACAGGTGTATGTCTGAGTGTGGGTGCACAAAGAGGTCCATGTGTGTGTATCTGCATGTGTGTACGTGTGTATGCACAGGTGTGTGCACACGTGGTTGTGTGTGTATATGTGTGTGCCTTGGGGTGTGTGCACGTGTGGACTGTGTGCATGTGTATGGAGGTGTGTGCATACATGTGCGGGCACGCAAGTGTGTGTGAGCTGACGTGGAGTCGCATGTGGACATGTGGGACGTCTGCACATCTTCTGCCTGGTGCTCCAGGGCTGGAAGGGGCAGCTTCGGCAGCCTGCCTGGTGACAAAAGTGCACTGAGGGGCTCGCTTTCTACCAAGCGGAGGCTTTGGCAGGTGGGGACGCAGGCGATGAGGCTGGTGCTGCTGGGGCCTCGCCACCTCTGCCTCCCGGCCTGCTCTCTGCTGCCTAGAGCTCCGCTGTGGGCTCCAGGCTCTGTTTCAAAGGTCTGTCCCCCCCAGGGTGCAGGGTGGCTGCCGCTTCTCCCTGCTCCCTCCCCTTCCTTCCCTCCGACCTCTCCCAGCCCAAGGCCCCCACAGCCTGCTCAGCAGCTGCTGCTTGGAGGCTGGTGGGCCCAGGCCCAGCCCTGAGGGGTGCAGGACCAGTCTTGTGCTGAGTGTCCTGCTGGTCAGGACCCTTCCCTCAGCCATGACTGAGGGGTGCTGGTCGTTGCAGCTGCCTCCTCGGCCCTTCCCTGCGTGTCCCGAGCCAGCCTTGGCCAGGGTCCCCGAGAGGAGGGGGCTGGGCGTCGGACGTGGGTGCTTTGCCCTGGGACCCGTGCTCTATGTGGTTAACCTTGGGGCTGAGGCACAGGAGTAGCAGGTGCTCTCCGCCACCCCTGCTGTGGGGGAGACGGAAGCCTTGCTGCGGGAGCAGAACGCCCTTCCTGCCCTGGGGAGGCCCGGGAGTGTCCGCATGTGGGCTTGGCAGACAGCAGAGGCCACAGTACCCTCTTGGGCCATGGAGGAGAAGCCCAGGGTGGAGGCCCGGCAGTGTGGCCCTGGGCCAGGCCGTCCTGTGTGTCCCTCTGGGGCCCCCGGCCACCTTGCTCAGTGCTTCCCGGGGCCTCACGGCCCTCAGTGGCCCTGCGTCAGGCCCGGGAGCAGACCCGGGCAGCCCTTGCTCTCACTGTCAGATTCTCACTGCGGGAGCAGAGTGGGGTGCTGGACCCCTGCCTGCCTCACAGTGGCAGAATCAGGATGGACAGGCCCAGTGTGTCGCTGTGAGTCACAGGGAGAAGTGACGGACAGGGACAGGCCTTGCCCCTGCTGCTGGGCAGGCCACCGAGGAAGCCCTCGGGATGCTCTGGTCTGCGTGGGGTCCCTGAGCGTTCGGACCCGAGCCCGTCTGCCACGTGGGATGGGGGCACTGGTTGCATCCACCGCAGGGACCGCGTGTCCCGTGTGAAGTCTCTGGTGACCAGAGCCAGCAGCGGGCGGGTGGACGTGTGTTGTCTCTTTTGTGGCTCATTCTTAGTGGCAGTGTGACCCGCACAGGCCCTCTGTCTGGGATTGGGAGAGGCGCAGCTGCTGGTGGAACCTGTGGCCCAGAGCCCCTGGCGTTCAGGGCCTGGAAACCGAGGGTCCAGGGCTCAGGCCCTCAGCCCGGGGACAGCAGCCCCTGAGCTAGGAGCGCGTGTCCTCCGGCCTGAGCCAGGACGCTGTCCCGAGTGGGCCCGAGCCATCTTGCCCCAAGCACACGTGGGTAAAACAGGGCCTCCTTCCTGCCCTCGTACAGTGCTGACCGGAGCCCTGGGCCTGGCAGGTGGTGTTCTGGGCTGCCCCGGGCTCTGCAGCCCCCAGGCATTCCTCCTTGCCCTCAAGGTGGGCTGGAACTTCCCAGCAACTCAGCAGACTCCCCAAACACTGGAAAGGGGAGGCTTGACCTGCCCTGGGCTGTGGGGACCGTAGTGCTCATGCTTATGAGGTGTGCTGGAGGTTTGGGCCTGGGAGGCCCCCCAGTTCCTGAGCTGAGATGCAGGGGATCCAAGCTTGGGCTGAAAGCCACCTACCTTCTGAAAGATTGGCCACTCACTGTCCCCAGGAGGAGCGGAGCTGGGGGGTACAGGCCTGGAACTCGTCCGCGCCCGGGACACCATGGGCGGGACGTCAGGCCTGTGCACCCCTCCTGCAAACCTGTCGCCTCTGTTTCTCTCCCCTCCCCTGGGCTTCACACGGTGCTCATGGCCACCCCTCTGTAGCCCGAGAACCTGCTCCTGGCCAGCAAATGCAAAGGCGCCGCGGTGAAGCTGGCGGACTTCGGGCTGGCCATTGAGGTGCAGGGGGACCAGCAGGCGTGGTTTGGTGAGTGCCCACGAGGAGGGCAGGGCGTGCGGGCGGCCCCTCCCAGCCCTTCACAGCCCTTTCCCCTTCGGCAGGCTTCGCAGGCACGCCGGGCTACCTGTCCCCTGAGGTGCTCCGCAAGGAGGCGTACGGCAAGCCCGTGGACATCTGGGCGTGCGGTGAGACGCCTAAGTGGAGCTGGGGGCATCTTAGGCTTGGGCGCTCCTTTGAGGGCTGGGCATGGGCGCGCAGGGCTGTGGGACCTGGGCAGGGATGCGCTTGGCTGAGGCCTCCTCTGGGGCCCGTGCTCACGGCCCCGCCCCGTCTCAGGAGTGATCCTGTACATCCTGCTGGTGGGCTACCCGCCCTTCTGGGACGAGGACCAGCACAAGCTTTACCAGCAGATCAAGGCCGGAGCCTATGATGTGAGTGTGTGGGGTGGGACGGGGCCCCGGCCTGGCCTGTGTGCTGCCCTCCCATATGTGGCGTGCCCTGGGGAGGGGCTTCCGTCTCAGCCTGTGCACTGTTCCCCGTCTAGTTCCCGTCCCCCGAGTGGGACACGGTCACTCCCGAAGCCAAAAACCTCATCAACCAGATGCTGACAATCAACCCCGCCAAGCGCATCACGGCCCACGAGGCCCTGAAGCACCCATGGGTCTGTGTAAGTCGGCCTCGCTCCCCGGGGCGGGCAGCTCACTGAAGTGGCGGCCCGGTTCCGCTCCTCACACCTGAAGGCACCCCGGCTTCCCTGGGCACTCTTGGCAGCCTCTGCCCTGGGACCCGCTGGTAGTTTTTGAGGACCAGGTTTGGGGGGACATAAGGAGCAGAAGGGGCCACTTCCTCCTGTCCCCAGTCCTGTCTGTGAGGGGACGGAAGCAGGTGAAGTAGGAGACACAAGGCCTGAAGTCACAGGTGGGTGGGGCGGCAGGTGGTAGGGTGGCCCTCCGCACGTGGGGCTCAGGGATGCCACCAGCCCAAAGCCCCGGGCCTCCCCGACTCGCTGGGGTCCTGCCCCCTGGGGACGAGCAGAGGCTTCCCGGGCCCCTTGCCCGCCCGTGACTGCTTCTCCCCCTGCAGCAACGCTCCACCGTGGCCTCCATGATGCACAGGCAGGAGACTGTGGAGTGTCTGAAGAAGTTCAACGCCAGGAGGAAGCTCAAGGTGAGCGCTGCTCAGCCCCGGCACTGGGAGAGCCCCACGGCCCCGCCCAGGGAGGGCCGGCCTGACTGGCTCTCCCCAAAACCCCGAGGGGGGCAGCCCCTGCCCCGGGCCTGTGAGGGAAAGGAGGGGCTGAGGAGGAGCTGCCCCGGTGACAGGTGGTCCTGGTGGCTCCTGAGTCTCAGGGGCCTTGGAGCACCTGTGAGTCATGTCGAGTGGCAGTGGGTAGGCTCAGCGTCCTGTTTCGGTTCTGGACACTGGCGATCGGCCTCGCGGCAGCTGCTGGGCTCCAGGCTCTTCCTCTGCAGAAGCCTGAGCTATTAGAGGACAGAGTGGGGCCATGCTTCTGGCCAGCAGGGGGCGCTAACGAGTCGGCCCTGCTTTGTCTCCCGCAGGGTGCCATCCTCACCACCATGCTGGCCACACGGAATTTCTCAGGTGAGACACTCTTCTCCAGGGAGGACCGATGCCACTTCGCCCTGCAGGCTGTGGCAGGAAGTCCTGCCGGGGCTCGGGGCCTGTGTCGTTGGCTCCAGCTGGCCCCTGGGCTCCCTCCTGGGGCGGCCACTGGGCTCGGCCATCCCCTGCCCAGTCTCCTCTGTGTTGGATCCGTGTCCTTCACCCGACACCTCAGTGTTTGTGCGGCCTACTGCCCTGCCTGCACACATGTCTGTCCAGGCGTCTGTCCGGCGGCCTGTGGCCTCCTTGTGTCCAGGGGCCTCAGCGCTGTGCTGTGCACGGAGGGGGCAGAGGGGTGGGCTGCGTGGGGTCTGTGTACTGCACTGGGGACGGCCATCCTGAGTGCTGGCTGCTCAGGGGGGACAGTGGGGAGTGAAGCCTCGGGGGTCTGCTAGAGACCCCGGGGCCCTGCAGGCCCCAGCGCCCCAACAGCCGCGGCTTCTCCGTCGTCTGACTCCGCGTGTGCGAGCGTCTGTGGCCATCTCTCGTTGTCCGTCTGCACCTGGCACCCCCTTCCTGTTCCTTGCTGTGATGCCATCCTGCCTGGAGTGGGCACGCACGGTCACACCAACGCTAACGGGACTGTCTGTCTGCTGTGTGCCGCTCGCCCGCGCCGGGCGCCAGAAGCCCCCTGAGGGGCTCTGAGAGAAAAGGCAAACGCTCTTCCGTGTCAGTCGGCCCAGTCTTGTTTCACTCTCCTGAGAAAGGGATTCTGGAGCCACCTACACTTTAACTCTAATCTTCTTCTGCTTCCTTTGTCTCTTCTCTTTCCTCACCTCGCCCCACCCCGTGTGTGTCCGCCCCCAACCCCTCGTCTCTAACCCGGCGCTAACAGTGGGCAGACAGACCACCGCTCCAGCCACAATGTCCACCGCGGCCTCCGGCACCACCATGGGGCTGGTGGAACAAGGTAGATGTGTCTTGCCCAGCGTCCGCCCGCTCCTGCCCGCCCTTCCTGTTGGCATGCAGCCCCCCGCTGCACGCAGCCGCTGGCCAGGCCCCCAGAGCTGCCCCAGAGGCCCCCGGGAGCCCCTGCTCCCGCTGTGGTCACCGCTCGGCAGAGCCCACCTAGGACAGGGAGGTGGCCCACCCACCCATCTCCTCACCTGCAGGAGCTACTGGCTAGGTGGTCCCTGGGGTGCGGGGGTCTAGAGACCCCCACTGAGAGTGACCTGAGCTTCACGGGGAGCCACAGAGGCTGCCACCAGGGGTCTGGACCTTGGAGCAGGGCTGGTGAGGCCAGTGTGCTGCTCTGGGGGAACCAGGGCTGCGGCCGGTCCCCCCTCAGCAGGTGGAGCTGGTGGTCTGAGTTGCGGAGTCCCCCCAGCAGGTCTGCCCTGGAGTAAGGAATTGGGGCGAGGGATATCTGCACCGTGAGGCTTCCTGGAGAGCTCTGATTCTTTCTGGAGCCTTCACCAGAAGGTCCCAGATCTGAGGGAGGAGACATCTCTCTGGCCCCTAAGGCCTGGGTGGCCTGGGGACCTCCTTTCGGGCTCCACAGTCGGTCCCCAAGCTGAGGGTTGGCACAGGCGTAACCACATATCTTACAGGAGCCTCCAGTGTCCCCCGGGGCAGGACGGAGGTCCCAGGAGGTGGGGACCTCCCTCCCTGGACCCACCAGGCCACAGCGAGGCCTCCTGGGGGGCAGTTTAGGCATCTGGACAGGCCCAGCAGACAGGCCCAAGCCCACATTTGCAGCCTTTCTGGAGCACATGCGGGAGGGAATAGCTGGGTTAAGGAAAAGATGAAACTAGAGGCTCCCGAGGACCCACTGCCCAGGGACAGCAGCACGACACAGGCCACCTCTGAGCCACGCTGTGCCCAGGCTCCCGCTGCAGCGCCCGCCTGCCTGCAAGTCAGCCAGGGCGGCGGTGCATGAGGCCGCCAGCATGTGCGGCTCCGCCCAGGCACCTGGGCCACTCTGTCCTGGAGGGGTCGGTGCATGTGAGCGCAGCCCAGCATGGCTGTTCAGGGCGACTAGCTAGGGGCCGAGGCAGGGGCAGGGTCGAGGGTCCCACATACTCTAGGGACAACGTCTCTGCCGGATGTCCAGGTGTGTGTGTGGGGGGGTCCTTGGTCCAGCAGGGAGGCCCTGGCTGCAGAGTGGGCTGCGGTGTGGCCTCCGCCCTCCCTCTTGCATTGGGCAGGTGTGCGTGCAGAGGGGATCACTCCTGGTGGCCAGCTGCTTGGCTTGAGGCGGGGGACGGGTGGGTTCCAGCCTGGGTGTCTATCTTTGGTGCCTTCTGCACCTAATAAATGCTATTGACCGGAGACCCTAAAAAGGAGGCTCTTCTCCTGGGAGCGCCAGTGTGGACGGTGCGGACAGGGTCCTGGCCCTGATAACTGTGGCTAGTCCAGGACAGAGAGGGATGTTGGAGCAAGAAGTGGCCCAGGAAAGGCGGGGAGGAGCTGTGTGCTCATGAAAGGCTGGGCTGGCGCTCCACCGTGCTGTGCCGAGACATGCACAGGGGCTGGCATAAAAAGGGGTTCCTGGGGCGGGAGCTGTGTGCCACAGGTGTCCGCCCAGGCCTGGGCCTCAGAGTGGCCTGTGCGAGTCCTCAGGGGAGCACGTCCTCTTACTTCCCGTGGAAAACTTTTTAATACCTCTGGTGGGAACGTGGGCTCTGACAAACCCAGGGCCCTAAGTAGGGCCCTCTTAAGCTGAAGGACAGCCCTGTGGTCTCCTTGGCTGAGAGGGAGCGGGGAGGTACTGTGCTGCCTGCCAGGCCTTGCTCCGGTACTGGCTGTGTGGGTCCCTGCGCAGATTCCAGCTGGAAACGTGTGGGGCTGGCCCGGCGGTGGGCCCGAGGGAGGCGGGCCAGGCCCCTGTGTAAGCTTTCCATGGAGTTCGCCACATCACTGAAGCCTGTGTTCCTAAAGAGGACAGAGGTCCTCCCTGATGCTCAGCTCCTGGTGACAAGGGTGCTCAAGACAGGGATGGGTGTCTCCCTCCTCGGGCCCCAGGGAGGGCCCAGCCCCCTGTGGCCCACAACAGGCCACCAGCAGGGAGAGGGGCTCCAGGCCTGGGGACAGCTGTGTGCTAGAACAAGGGGACGGCGGGGAGGCCGGGATCCACAGACAAAGAGGCAGTGCCTGGCTGGGCCCGGCCTGTCCAAGAGTGGGGCACAGAGAGGGTTCAGCAGAGAGCAGAGGAGTTGGACACTCTGGCTGCAGGGCAGTGGGGACCACAGACAGGGCTGCCCAAGGGCATCGGGGACCTGGTCCCTGCTGCCGCCTCCGAGGGTGAAATGCAGAGAGGACCCCAGGAGTCAGGTTTGGAGTTAAATCTGTGGGCCCTGGAGCCACCCCTGGGCTCGGGAATTAGTGGATCAGCGAGGCAGGGAGGCTGCGAGCAGAGACGGTGTGCCCACTGCCCAGGGCTGTGCCCACTTCCGGGTCCCCAGGCCCCACAGGCAGAGTGGGGAGGGGCGGGCCGTGGTCACGTGGCAGGGAGGGAGGTGGTCCGCAGGCAGGGCCAGGGCCCAGGCCTGGCTTCTGAAAGGAACTGGGCCTCCGTCTGTCAGCCTCCACAGGCTCCTGCCCATCCCGCTTGCAAGCCAGAATCAGGGCCGCCCTGGGGGTTGTGGGGGACGCTGAGCCCCCCCAGGGTCCTGACCTCAGGGAGCCGGGGAGCTGGGGGTTTGCATCTCTGACTGTGTAAGCTGGCCCTGCCACACTTGGGGGAGACCCTGTTTGAGAACGGCAGCCCAGGTCTGAGTGTGCCCGTTGGTCCCCACGCCCCGCGCAGGCCTGCCTTGGGGTGGCAGGCAGGAGAGCCCGAGGTCACACGTGGAGCTGGTGGGAAGGGGGCCGCCGCCTCGCTCCTGGGCCCGGGGGTGAAGAACCCCCACCTCCTCGCTGCCCTGTGCTGCACCAGCCCCTGCCGCTTCTCTAACCTGCTGTGCCTGTGGGCGGGGCCAGGACGGGCTGGCCTCGCTGCCCGGGTGAACGCCTGCCCGACCAACAAATCTTGTTTTCTCTCTTCCTCTCTTTCCCCTCTTCAACCTTTCCTTTTCTGTAAGGTAAGCTGACTTCCTCGTTTTTCTTTTTGTTCTGTCATTAAAGTTCTAACCTCTGCCGTGAAGAGTGTAGGTTCTGGGGATGGTGGACAAACAGAGCCAGGCCTCTCCGACTTCCGAGGGGACTGCTGGGGTCCCAGGGATCACCTGCTGGTCCAAGCGTCCCGGGAATTGGGGGCAAAGATGCCAGCACTGGCCCCAGGGATCGCCACAAAGAGGTGGCCCCCGCAGCCAGGCACCAGACAGCTTGGGAGGACAGCAGGGCAAAGGCCACTGGTCCCAAGGCCACAGTCCCAGGTGGTGGTGGGCACCTGGCGGGGATGGGGCTCTTGTGTGGCTGTGGCAGCCAAGGGTTGATGGTTCCTCGGTGCCCTGTGGAGCCCTGGGGCTGCGGAAGACGACGTGGGAGGGACCAGTGCTGGGGCAAGGGTCCCTGGGCAGCCTGGGCTGCCCCCTTCCGGGTCCTGTTGCTGCTCTGGGCAGGCCTGGGGCGCCGGGCTGCCCTGGGAAAGAGCTGAGGTGGGTGGGGCCGCGGCTGGGGGGCACCAGGCCCGCAGCTCAGGCTGCCTCCTTCCCTCCCCATACAGCAGCCAAGAGTCTGCTCAACAAGAAGGCGGACGGCGTCAAGGTGAGGCCCTGCCGCTCCGCACGGCCAGCCTGGGAGGGTGGGCACCCCTTCTCCCCTAACCACTCCTCGTCTCTCCACAGCCCCAGACAAACAGCACCAAAAACAGTTCGGCCATCACCAGCCCCAAAGGGACGCTCCCTCCTGCCGCGCTGGTACGGAGCCCTCAGCCCCGGCCCCTCGTGCACCCCTCTGGCAGAGAGACCTGCCCCCAGTCTCCACCGTGCCGGGGCCCGGGGTGGGGGCTGTGTCTCCCGAGGGGAGAGGCTCTGTTGCCCAGGGTCAGGCAGGTGCAGGGCTCTGGGGAGCCCCTTTCAGGGGCCTAGCCTCTCACCTCACCCTCTTGTGGGTCACCCCACAAGCATGCAGCGAGAGGTTTCTGGAGGTGGGCAAGACAGGGACAAGGGGGGCCCCCTGTCTCCCAGGGCCTCATCCCTGGCCTCTAGGGCCCGGCTGGGCTTTAGGGTGCTGTGGTGGGGCAGTCCTGAGTGCAGGGAGAAGGCCTGGCGGTGTGGGGTAGATCCCCACGCAGCGGCCACGGCGGGGAGCCAGGGCCATCAGAGCTGCTGGCAGCCCCTGCCGGGCTCCGCGATGCCCCTCCTGCCCCTAAAGGGTATCTGGCCAGTCTCGGGCCACTGGCCCTGGGGGGCTGCTGCAGGGGAGCACCACCTGTGGGTGTGGTGCCAGCTCCCTGCTGTGTCACCTGAGTGCCCGTGCTGTGCTGGGGGTGTGAGGTTTGCTGGAAGTGTGCTTGGTGTCCCCTCGAGGTCCAGCTGGCTTCCAGGAGGCGGCTGAGCCTGCTGGAGCGGCAGGCTGTGGCAGGAGGGTGCCAGGCGCCTGCCCCGACACGCCGGCCTTGCAGCCAGCCTCAGCTCGGACTCTGTCCGTACATTGCCATGCCCACTCCATGACATTGCCGAGCCTGTGTCCCCGTGCTGGACAGGGCCCGGGCAGCACAGTGGGGAGAGCTCCCCGAGCCATGCCCGCGGCTCCTCACGCTCCAGACTTCCGTGCTCTGGGTGGGCAGGCCGGTGGGCACCGTCTCAGCCTGGGGCAATCTGTGGTTCCACCCACCTGCTCCTCTACCCCGAGGGCCATCACTGACCTCCGCTCCTCCATCCCTCTCGGGCCATCTTGCTGACCGCCTGCCGCCTCCATCCCTGTCCCCTCTGCTCTGCACTCTCTCTGGTGGATTCTGGCCGCCGCCCACTCCTCCTCTCTCTCCCTGGCTCCCCGTCCCCTGCTTCCTTCTTTCTCACTCTCCGTCTTTCCTTCCTCTGTCTGCCGCCTTCTATAGGAGCCTCAAACCACCGTTATCCATAACCCAGTGGACGGGATTAAGGTACTGCGCCGCTCTCCCCTCCTCCCCCTTCCTCGGGCAGGAGGCGCCGGGCCCAGGACGAGGGTCTGGACGGTGGTCTGGGGAGGCCCTGTGCTCAGAGTGGAGGGCAGGTGTGCGGTGACAGCAGGACACACGTGTCAGGAAACAAGCTCCCACAGCCGCACTGCGTCATGGGTGGCTGTCACCTGGGCTTCAGGGTGCCCTGATGCTGGGGGCCAGTCCACTTCTTGGGGACAGCGTCCCCCACTTCTGCTGCCCTGCTCCCCCAGCCCCCTGTGTGGCCCCAGCGCTTCCTGCTGAGCGGACCCCCTGCTCTCTCTGCTGTGCCATCTGCTGCCATCACATCGGCATCATCGCGGGGTCGGGGCGGGGCTGGCTCTTGGTGGCGCTAGGTGGGACGGCAGGAGCCAGGCATTTCCAGGACGCAGTCAAGCAGGGTGGGCAGATCAGACTTCCCACTGGGGCCTGGCCTCCTGCCAAGCACCAGCAGTGCCTCCAGGGGCCCTTCCTTCTGGCCAGGGCCTGCCCTGGCTGTCCTCAGAAGACACCTGCTCCGAGGTGGGAATCAGGGCCGGTGGGCGCCCACAGCGCTGGCACCCATGGCCTGGCTTCCTCCTGTCCGGGTGCCAGGCATCCCTTGGGCCCTGTGTGTGTGTCTGGACGGGGTCGTGTCTTCCATGAGGGGGCCTGGACATCCTCCAAGGCTGGGGCTGACCCTGTTCCTGAAGACCCCACTTCTGGTCTGGGCAAGAGTACAGTGCAGTTGGGGTCCAGACCAGGCTTGGTCCTTCAGGGACCTGAGAGGTTGTTCTTTCTGAGGAGCACGGCGGGCCTCTGGGGCACATGGGTGCCCTTTTCATCTGAAAAAGCTGGGCCCGGGCTCTCACGTCTTCTGGGGGGGAGGATGTGAGTGCAGGTAGACCCTGAGAGACGCCCCCCCCCTGGCAGAAAGCAACTCTCCCTGCCTGCCAAGCGCACAGGGCTCTAGCCGCTCTGTGTCAGCAGGAGTCCGCTTACTTCCTCCCGCTGGAGAGTCCACTGAGCGCCCTGGGTCTTGGGGATGTGCACGGCCATGTGGGGGCATGGTGAGCCCTGAGGGCGCCCTTTTCCCCCAGTCGCTGCACTGTGAGGACTTTCAGGGCTGGAGTCCTGTTGTGGCAGGGCCTGTCCCGAGCTCTGATGGAGCAGCCGGGCTGGTCCCACGGCCGGCCGCACCCCGGTGGCTTGGGCCGTGTCCTGACCCACACCTCCCTGTCTCCTCAGGAGTCATCGGATAGTACCAACACGACCATGGAGGACGAGGACGCCAAAGGTACCCGCTGGGCCGCGCTGGCCGCTCCTCGGGGCAGGGGGCTCCGGGGGTCCTGCATCCTGCGCCGCAGGGGTGCGTGTGGTGGCTCAGAGGCAGGGTCGTGCAGTGTCCAGGAAAGAAGCCACGGCTGTGCAGTGAGACCCGCTCTCCGCTCCGGCCTGAGCGCGTGGGTGGAACTTGCTCAACACCCATTCTCTAGTCCTTAAGCTTGTGATTGTGTCCACCTTGCGGGTGAGTGAATGGGCGGCTGAGCCTGCTTCCGCGCGTCCGTCCCGCTGTGGGCATCTCTGCCGCCCCGAGCAGGGGGTCCGTCCCCACACGGAGCCAGCAGTGACCTCTTGTGTTTCCCCTGACGCCCCCAGGGACCGAGCATCAGCAAGTGGTTCCCCCAGCCTGTCTGCCGCGGGCTCGCCTCCCCAAATCCGAGCCTCAGGACTCCAGGCGCCACTTGGGTGCTAAGCTGCCTTCAGCACCCCTAGGGGACAGATGGGTCACCGCGTGCTCCTCCCCCTCCTCCAGCTGTGACGCCGCCCCCAGTGTCACCATACTGCAAAGTTCAGGTGCCACAGGGCTCTGGATCCTCCCACAGGCGTGGGGGTGTCCGCCAGGTCCCCCATAGACAGAGCAGGATTGTGGCTTGGGATTCACTTCCTGTCCCAGGCCCTGCCCTCACTGTCTGGGGCATGGAGCCTTGGGCCTACGGGGGACAGGAGAAGAAGGACAGAAGTAGCGTGTGAGGCTCAGAGCCTGGATTGGCAGCAAGGTCTGGCAGGCCCAGGACCTCCACCCCTTGGTCTCAGCCTTGTCGTCCCAGAGAAGCCCCCGCCAGGCTACAATGTAGGGTATGCCCAGGCTGGGCGCAGCAGCCGCCAGGCCACGGTGACTGTCACTCCCACCGCCTGGCCTGGTCTCATCCAGCTCTCCTGACCCTGTGGATGGCCCCTGGGCATGACCGTTTCCATCTTCCAGCCCCCTCGGTGGCCTGGGGCTCTGCAGCCCTAACCTTGTCCTGCCCTTTCTGGCCCTGAGCCCGCCCACGTCTCTCCTGAGTGCCCGCTGCCAGCTGCCTACCTCTGTTCTGGCCCAGACCCTCCTATCCCTGATATCCTGAGCTCAGTGAGCTGGGGCCCCTGCCCTGCCATCGCCGGCACCCCTTAGCCCCTGCTGGCCCCACATAAGTAGCTTGGGCCCTGCTTCTGCAGGGTCACTGGGGGGGACCTGGCAACCCTTCGAGGGGAGACTCAAGCGCCAGGCCAGCCGAGTGTGGGAAGCTGGCTCTAGTGCCGCCTCCCCCCCACCCACACTGGGCTCCCGGGGCTGCCTCTGCCCTGTAGGTGCTGCCTGTGTGCACCTGGCCGGGAGGAGGCTGCCCCACCTCCTTCCTGCTCGGGGCTGCCAGGCTGCCCTTGGCCACTTGGTCACCAGGGGCCCCTATCCCTCCTTTCGGCTCTGACACCTCCTCATCCGTCTGTCTGTCTGTCTGTCCTCTGCTCACGTGCTGTCTGTTCCACCCCAGCCCCCAGGATCTCTGACATCCTGAGCTCCGTGAGAAGGGGCTCGGGAACCCCAGAAGCCGAGGGCCCCCTCTCTGCGGGGCCCCCACCCTGCCTGTCTCCGGGTCTCCTAGGCCCCCTGCCCGCCCCGTGTAAGTAGTGGTGCCTGGCCTGCTGCCCCTCCGCCAGGCTCGCGCAATGGCCGTGTTGCACAGCTCCCCGCGGGCGAGGTGCCCGATGGCGTCGCCAGGCTCAGCTCCCGCCTGCCCTCCTTCCCGCTGCCCACCGCACGCTGCCCACCCCCTGCCATTCCCCAGCTCGCGATCTCCCCACACCTGGGCAGCCAGCTTGTCCCCTCTGGGGCCCTCAAGCCCCCTCGCTGGAGAGTCCCCAGCCCCCTGACCTCACCCCAGATGCCCTATCATAGTCACAGCACCCAGGAGCCTGCTCCCGGGACTGTCTCTGGTTCCTGAGTGCCGCGAGCCCCGAGCACCACTTCCGTAGTTGGTGGGGGCGGGTGAGGGTCGGGGAGGGGCCGGGACTGCGACCCCACCACGGTCCCCGCGGCTCAGGGGCAAGGCTTCCTCTCCCAGCCAGTGCTGCCTGCGCGGCAGGGCCGTGCTTTCTCCCGGACGTCCTTCCCTCCCGCCCGCCCTCTGCCCCGTCCAGCGCTCTGAGCTCTGTCCCCATGCAGCGTCCCCTGGCTTCTTGCCGCCTGGGCCGCTCTCCTCGGAGGGCACCTCTGCCCACATGGCTTCAGCTCTGCCAGCGAAAGACGGGGCTCTGCCTCCATCCCAGTGCGCTGCCCCGTGCCTTCGGCTGCAGCACCCTCCCAGCCTCCCTGCCCCCGTCTGTCACCCTGTCCTCATCCGTCCCGTGTGTCTCCATCCCGCGGCCCCCGTGTTCCCTGTGTTCTCCTGCGCTCTTCTCTGTCCTCCACAGCGCCCTCCGCACCCCACGTCCCTTGCACTTGCCGTGTCTTATCCGTGCCCCACGCACCGCTGTGTCCCCTCCGTGCCCTGTGCCCCCATCCCCCTCCACTCCCATGACCTCTCCATCCCTGTGTAACCCTTCCCTCCTCCCGTGCCCCTTCACCCCTGCCCCCTCACCCCACGCCCCTGCATGAACCCCACGTCCCTTCCACCTCCCCCGCCCCCTTCCGTCCTCCATGTCCGCCTCCATGTCCCTGTGCCCCCTTTGCCCTGCGTGTCGCCCTCCTTTGTCCCCTGTCCTCCTGGTCACCCCACTCTGCGGCTTGGCTCTCAGCCTGTGGGTTGTCTCCGGCATGTGCCCCCTCCGTGTTCACATCTGTCTGTTCCACCCCAGCCCCCAGGATATCTGACATCCTCAACTCAGTGAGGAGGGGCTCAGGGACCCCCGAAGCCGAGGGCCCCCCACCAGTGGGACCCCCGCCCTGCCCATCTCCGACTCTCCCCGGGCCCCTGCCCGCCCCGTGTAAGTAAGCCGCCCTCAGGGCCGCAGGGGCACGGCGGCCAGGCTGGCTCAGGGCCCGGGGTCCCTCTGCCGGAAGCACAGGAAGGGCCATCTGGTCTCCAGAGGCGCAGATGACGGTGGCACGCGTGTGCGCTGGGTGTGGGCCTGTGCGGGCTGCTGACCTGGAGCGCCTGCGCCTGCCCGGGGCCACAGCTGTGCCCGGAGGGCGAGGACAGCGGGCGGGGCGCAGGCCCGCCTGCACAGCACAGCCGGAAGGGGGACGCCGTCCTGGCCTTGAGAAGCTCTGGCGTCTCGGCTGCCAGGGTGGACTTCGGGGTGCAGACTTGGGGGGCAGCCAGGGCTCTAGGCGGGCGAGAGAGACAGGCGCAGGCGGGACAGCCAGTATCGCTTACAGGGATGGATGACATCCCAGGCTGCGGCCGCCACCCCCGCCTCGGGGGAGACACGGGCTGGGGGTGGCGCTGAGATGCTGTCAGAGGAGAGGGCGCCTGGCCAGGGGCTCGGGATGGCGGGGCAGTGGCTGGGTGAGTACTGTGACTGGGGCCCGGAGGGTGGGGCCCACCGCGCAGGGTGCAGCCTCCTGAGGGACGTGGGCCCCCAGAGCTCCTGCAGAGCTGCTGGCTGGGAGGTGTGGAGAGAAGACCTGGCTCTTGGGGTGACAGGGCCTGGAGGACGGCAGTGGGGCCGCCAGGCAGGGAGGGGGTGCGCCCAGGCCCGGGGAGTCGGCACCTCCTTCCCGCGTCCAGAGCCTCGTCTGATTTCAAGGGGCCCTGCTGCACCTATAGAGGGCCGGGTGGGTGGGTGGGTGCTCTGGGCAGGACCTGCGGGGGACACAGCGTGGCCAGGTCATCGAGCAGGGTCTGTCCTGAGCTTGACAAGGGGCACTGGGGCTGCAGGAAGGGGCCGTGTGTGGGTAGATGGGGGCTTTGCGCCACCATCTCAGAGCTGGGCAGGGTGGATGGGGGAGAGGTGCCCTGTGAAGCTTTGGGAGAGGCGGAGGCTCTGCTGTAAGTGCCCCCTTCCCTGAGAAGGTGCCCCACCTCAGGCCCCAGCCCTCCCCACCCCTGCCCCCTAATCAGGGATTACACATGATCCCAGCTGATCCAGGCTGATCCTAGGCAGCCGCCCTGCCTCCTGCGGCTGAAGCGGCCCTGAAGGACAGGGTCCTGGGCAGCTGGGGCCCGGACCACACTGGCCACCTGGGCCCTGGGGCCTCCCTGGCCTGTCCCCACTCCAGGCATCATGACGCCAGTTCAGCCCTCCCACGCCCCCCATTTAGCTTTTTCCTAGAGTTGCTGAGGGGTAGGGGGTGCAGCTTGTCCTTGGCTCAGCACCCCATCCAGGCTTGGGTGCCCCTTTGCGCTGGCCTCCCTGCCCCCTCCCTGTGGGTCCTGGATGCTGCGGGCACAAAAGCACCCACGTGCATTCTGGGAAGACAGAGCGGGGGTTGGGTCACACTGAAGTCCGGGCAGCAGCCACTCTGCAGACAGGAGGTGACCAGGGCCACTCACCGGCAGCCCCCACCCTTCCCTAGCTGCAGAGGGAGCCAGCGGCCCTCGGTGGACAGGCCCAGTTCCAGGCCCCAGCCGTCGCCAGGTCTGACCGCTGTGCTTGCTTCACGCGATTTCCATTTTTAACTACAGTTTAAAAACAGTGTTAGTTCGCTAAAGGAAAGTTAGTTCACCTGCCGCCGGTGTGTGTAAAGTCAAAGCCTGCTAGAAACAGAAGCGGCGGCGCTCAGTTATGCCCATTCTGTGGGCAGAGCCTCTGCTGGAGGGGGCGGCTCTGTGTTAAAATGGGATTAACAGGTGACCGGGGAGGGGGACATGTGGGGGCAGAGGATTGGGGTGGGGAGGCCCGGCTGCAGGGGCACGGAGGCCAGGCTCAACGCAGCTCACAGCCGCCCAGGAAAGGGTAGGCACGGGGGATAAGGCGCCAGGGCGGCGGGGCGGGCATGGGCACTGCCCTGGGCCTGAAGAGTGAGGCATGGCCACGGGTCAGCGTGTACCGCTGCATATTTGGGGAGAACCTGGGAGGGTCCCTGTGCTGGGCTGCAGTGTGGGGCTGGAGCAGGGCCTGGGGCTGGGGTCCTGCGGCTCACAACCCACCTTCCAGAGGGCGTGTGGGCCACAGTGCTGAGTGGCAGCCGCTAGCGCAGGGTAGCTGGGTTAGGAGACAGGGCCTTTCCGGGATAGGGGCAGCCATACGTGCACACGTATGCACATGCACACAACTGTGGACATGCACACTCACATGCACTATGCACAGACACGTGTGTGTACACATGTGCACTACCATATATGTGCACACACCACGTCCACATGTTCTTCACGTGTGTGCGTATGTACACACACTTGGGAGTGAGTGCTACATACACTGTGCACAAGCACCCATGTGTACACATGTGGGTGCACACACGTGGAGGCACCCAGCTCCTCAAACCACCATTGTACGACCCCTGGCCTTTGCTCAGTGGAACCCCCATTCAGGGGACCTTGTGGGCCTCCCAAGCCGACTGACGGCTTGCCCTGGCCCGGCATGGGCCCTGAGTACCTTCCCATGTTGAAGAAAGGAGGGTGTGAAGTAAGCAGGCCCCCGCCAGAAGCCACGGGGGTGGTGGACGCTGGAGTGGAGGCCACAGAAGTGGCAGGCTGGCTGGGGTGGGCCTGTGGGGCGAGGATGGTTGTGACCAGACTTTTATTACTCTTTCTGTATTTTCCAGACATTTTCTAAGATAGGTAGAGTATTTCTGTCATTTCAAAACATTTTACTTAAGAAAAGCAAGATGGAAGCTGTAGCCCTTGGAAGTGAGGAAGGGGAGCGCAGGCGACGGGGATGGTTGGGGCCCAGGTGTCAGGGCCCAGGCCCTTCCTGGAGGGGACGAGCAGGAGCCAGGGGACGCGTGTCCAGGGCGGGAAGGCCAGGGCCTGTGCTCACTCGCATGCCTCCCCGCAGCCCGGAAGCAGGAGATCATCAAGACCACGGAGCAGCTCATCGAGGCTGTCAACAACGGCGACTTCGAGGCCTACGCGTGAGTCCCCGGGGCTGGCGGGCCCATGCGGGCTGCGGGCGGGGCACGTGCCCCTCCTCACTCGGGTTTGCCCCCCAGGAAAATCTGTGACCCCGGCCTCACCTCCTTTGAGCCCGAAGCTTTGGGCAACTTGGTCGAAGGCATGGACTTCCACAGATTCTACTTCGAGAACCGTGAGTGGGGAGCCGGGCCGGCAGCGTGGGGCGACACGGCAGGGTGCGCGTGTGGAGGGCATGTGGCGGCGTCCACGCGCCAGTCCTCTGTGCTGACCTCCGCCGTCCACAGTGCTGGCCAAGAACAGCAAGCCGATCCACACGACCATCCTGAACCCCCACGTGCACGTCATCGGTGAGGATGCGGCCTGCATCGCCTACATCCGCCTCACGCAGTACATCGACGGCCAGGGCCGGCCCCGCACCAGCCAGTCTGAGGAGACGCGGGTGTGGCACCGCCGCGAGGGCAAGTGGCAGAACGTGCATTTCCACTGCTCGGGTGCACCTGTGGCCCCGCTGCAGTGAGGTGAGCCGGGCTGCCCACGGGGAGGGGCGGGGGCGGGGGCAGGGGCAGGCTGGGCGCGGAGGTGCGGCCGCAGGGCCACTCTGCAGTAGGCCAGGCTGGGTGGCTGGGAGTGCTGAGGAGCCTTTGTCTACCTGTTTCAGAGCGGCGCCTGGTCTCGCCGGACAGAGTCAGTGTCTGCAGCCGGGCCTCCTCGGCCATGGCCTGCCTGTCGCATGTTTGTGTCGCCTGGTCCCCTCCCCCGGTGCCTGTGTCTGCAGAAAAACAAGACCAGATGTGATTTGTTTTTTTAAAAAAAAAAGATGAAGACAACGACAACCACACACACACACACACACACACACACACACACACAAATTGACATCAGATGAAATGGAAAAAAAAAAAACCTAAAAGGAAAAAGCTGTAAAAATCTGGCATTTGTGGGGCTGCCCCCATCCAAGCTCCATGTGCGTCCCTTGTGCTCCTGGCCGTGGGGACCCTCCGGGCGTGAGGAGCTGCCAGGCCCCACGCGTGCTGAACGGTGTTAGTCTGTAGGTATCGCGCTCACCCTGTGCCCCGGCGTCTGCATCCTCCCGCCTGCGCATGGCCCCCGCGTGTGCTCGCCTAGCTGTTGTGACGTCAGGTGTCCTGGGAGGGCTGCGGGCCGCTGGCTGCTCCTGTCCCTGCTTTCCCTTCCCTTCCCTCCAGAAGGGCTGGTGTGGGCTCCCAGAGCCGTGGACCCACCACCCAGTATGCACGGCCCCTGCTCCCTGGAGTGTGCAGGAAACAGCCGTCCTGCAGGCCAGCAGAAGAGCCCCGAGGGCCGCGGGCCCTGGCACTGGTCCCCGGGACTGAGGTGTGGACAGGCACTCTTTGCCTGAGAGGACGCATTGGCTGCAGCTCCAACTTGCCCTGTTGTGGAGAAAGACTTGACTGGGGGCTGGGCTCCTGCTTGGGGCCCCTGTCCCCTCCCTGCCAGCCAGTAGCAGTCACAGTGACTGTCCCTGTGCAGCCAGGAGCAGACCCCACCACGACGGACACAGGAGCAAGCCAGCTGCATCTGGGGCGTTTGCCAGCTGAGCTTGGGAGCTGTGCATGGGCTCGGGGCTTGGCTGACACCGAGTGGCCAAGGGCAGGGAAGGTGGGGGCAGGAGTCCTGCAGGAGCTGCTCAAGGAGGAGTGCTTTTGTGACCTGCGCCTAGAGCAGAAGCGGAGGCAGGAGCCACCCTGGGTATCGGGAGGCCGGGAGAGGAGGCCGGCTGGGGACGGGGATACCAGTGAGCAGAGGGCAGGTCTGTGGGGACAGTGTGCTGCCTCCAGGATGGCGGTGGCCCCAGCCCTTCGTGATGGAAGGCACCATGGTGACGCTGGGGACAGAGTCTGAGGGCAGCAGCAGGGACGGGCGGGGGCCTCTACCGCAGTGCTGCCCACCTTCAATTCATGTTGTTTTCACTAGGATTTTCTTTATCTTCCCCCACAAATCAAGGCAGGGGAGGGGCACAGAGTGGGGAACAGGACACAGGATCCCAAACTCCAAGGGGACTGCCCACCACGGGCACTCAGAGTGGACGCCACCTTCTGTCTGTGCTGTGTCCGGGACAGCCGTCTCCATCCGTGGACACAGGGAAAAACATCTGCCAGGCTCCGCACAATGGGCTCCAGGCCACGGACCATGGCAGGGCTCACTATGGACGGCGCTGCGGCCCCGCAGCTGGCCACCCTGGTGTCCTGGGGCCTCCTCCCTTCCTCTCTCTCCCCTTGTTATCTCCACGGAGCTGCCTGTCTGGGATCATTTGGGGTTTTTTTCTGGGGGATAATTCTTTTGCATGACCCTCTCCAAAGAGCAGGCCACGCCTGCTGTGCTAGCTAGGTGTTTGCAGGTGGTGGCGTTACCGCTGGCCAGCGCTGCAGGGCATCATGGCCCACGGTGCTGGTGGCCCTCCCTCTTCTCTTTTTGCTGAGTTTCATTGTCTTTTCTTTCTGAGCCTTGTAGGTGTACAAAAATTATTCTTATTTTGTTCTGTCTCGGGAAACTGCAAATAAAAGAAAAACAGGACAAACTGCTAAAAGTACAGTTGGGTACTTTATACTGGGACCCTGCCAATCCCCTGTCCCTTGAACGCAGACCCACTGCTGCTTGCTGGCCCAGACCTGGTGGTAGGAGGAGAATATGGGACCCAGTCCCTCTCTGCTGGCTGGTGGCCCATGCTCACCCGCTGTTCCCACCCCTCTGTCTGATCCTCCCAAATCTCTAGGCCCTGTGCTGTCCACCTGAGATTCTGGAACCAAAACTGGGCTCCAGCCCCAATACTGGGATCTCTAAAGTCACCCACAGGCCAATAAAAGGGAAGCCAGGAAGAGCTGGCAGGGGAAGGAGCCTCAGGACCAGGACCCGAGTGACACCACCCCGTGTGAGTCAAGAGGCTTCACACGGGGCCTGAGCCTGGATCTTGGCCCAGGGTTTGGGGTGGGGCCAGAAGGACCCCAGGGGCCAGGAGCAGCCTAGGCCCCAGCTCAGGGCAGCCAGCTACAGGGAAGGGTGAAAGGCTCCCTTCCCAGGCTTCCCTCCCTCTAGCCCACAGTGGGACAGATCCTTCCCTGTCACCATTACTAGACCTATCCTGTCCTCAGGCCCTGCCCAGATGGTCCCCAGCTGCCCACTGCCCTGCTGCCTGGGCATGAAGACTCCCTTGGGAACATCAGCCCCCACCTGTGCTGCCTGAGGCCCTCAGGTCCTTCTGCAACCTGGACGCCTCCCCTGAGGACAGCCTGGAACCCTGCTGGCGGCCCGGGCCGCCGCCTCAGAGTGGCCAAACCCCACACCCGGCACCCCTGCCTCCCAGGGCTGCCACCGCACTGGTCCTTAGGCCTCGGGTCCGGGTAACTTCTGGTAAGGTGGACGTCCCTGCATCATCAGTCTCATCTGCCAGGAGCCAGGGGTCCTGAGGGACCCCCCCCCCCGAACTGGCCAAAGCTCCCAGCTGTCTCCTCCGCCCCGAGCACCTGGTTACAGCCACCTCGCCTGTGAGGCGGCCCCTATGCCAGCTTCTCGGGCTCTGAGTGCACGCTCTCAGGTACGTGGCAGGCAGGTGGCGGACCCCAAAGGCCAGGGCAGAGAATCTAGGTCAGAGCCCACAGACGCAGCGGTGACAGGCCCCAGATCTAGGGCTCCACTCCCTATCAGCTGTAATCGGAGACTTTCCAGGCCAGGGCTCCCTGAGGAAGGTTGTGGCAGCACAGCCTGAGCCTCCAACATGCATTATTCCTGAGGTCCCTCTGCACGCCAGCAGGGCGGCCTAGCGCGGCTCTGGGGACAGCGCCGGGGGGACCACCCTGCAGGGCCGAGCACTGGGCACCAGGGAGTGGACTGCATTCATCCCTTTAAACCGCACCTACTCTGGGCAGAGCGCCCCGAACCATCTGTCACCCCAAGAAGGCTCAGGTTACCCCAAGCTCCATCAAGTCCTGTCACATGGATCCAGGGCTGCTTTCAGGCCAGGCAGAGGGGTGTCCGGCCACAGAGATCACAAGTACAGGCCAAACGCAAGGCCCAGCCTGCCTGCTGGGACGCTGGGCTGCAGCACTATCGGATTCCGCCACGCAGCTGTGGAAGCCGCTCGCTGGACTCAGGAGCAGACTCCCCGAAGATGTCAGCTCTGCTCACGTCCTGTGGAAGTTCCCGACTGCCTGGTAAAAGCCAGGCGGCCTGAGCCCCACGGAGGGAGGGGAGGCCGGGGCGGAAGAAGCTGAAGCAGCTTCCCAGGCTGTGGCTAGGGCCAGAGAAGCAGGCTCCGAGCGCACTGGGCCTGTGCTCTAGGGCGCCCTCGACTGGCGAACAGCCAAGAGGCGTGCGGGCTGCTGAGCAGCGCCCCGGGACAGATCCAGGCCCAGCAACACACACCGCCCCAGGGGAGAAACGAAGCACAGGACCACTTTGGAATCTCAAAAAAAAACCTTTATCTAGACAGGAACCTCTCACAGGACACAGAGGTTAGGTGACAGTTATTAAAACAGTTATTGCCAAACAGTTGGACATTAGCATACAACAGGCAGCAGGGAGACTCTCCCCCAGACCCCCACCCCACCCTCCACCTGTCTCCCCCGCGCCCCTTGCTGCTCCCTCAGGGTCCGGGCCCCTCACTCCAGCTCAGGTACCAGCGCGTGGCAGTGGGATTAACCGCAGGCCAGTCCATGTGAGGCCAGAGCCCTTGGGCAGCACGGTGACCAGGGAAGAGGGGCAGCAGCAGGTCCTGGCCCAGGGGGCAGGGTGACTCCTTCCCACCTGCCTTTGCCCTCAAGGGAGCTCCTGGCAGCAGGGCAGACTCTGAGGATGGGCGACAGCAACCCAGGGGGAAGCCACGGGCACCCTGGGCACAGCCAGGCATGGAGAGGCGGCTGGCAGCCAGGTTCTCCTGCGAAGTGGCTCCAGGGCTGACCTCAGGGCCAAGGTGGGTGACGGGCGCTCAGTCTTCGTTTGGCCTCTGGCACTTCCTCCTGATGCCTACTGGACAGACTTGCCGCGCGCTCATGTTCCAGGCGGCTCCCAGTCTTGTAGCCAGAGGGGCACACAAACGGTTCTGAGAGTACAGCACCCACTTCGACCCTGATGACCAAGGTCGGCCTGGTCACTGCGGTGTGCCTCATTCTGGGCAGGCAAGGGCACCTCTGTCTGGATCTTCCCCAGCGGCCAATGCTCCCCGCTGACAGCTGGACATCCAGGCTGGCCCCTTCCCTGGATCTGCCCACATGCCTGCCTCAGCCCCTTCCAAACCCTTTGGAACAGTGGGTGGAAGATGCCCAGGATGAGCCTTGCCCTCACAAAGCTAACCCCAAGGCTAAGAAGCAGGACGCACCAGGAACAGAACGTGAAGAGACCCAGTGACCAGTGCCCCCTACCGGCCTGGGCGGGAACCACCAGCCCACCAGCAGCTTCACCCCACCCTGCACTCTGCTCAGCCCTGTCACCACCCCTTGCTGGAGTTAACACCATTAGCATACAGATGAGACCCAGAGGTGTCTGCTGAGGACACCAGGGCTGGCTCTCAACTGCCTCCCAGGGGCCTGCAGGAGGCAGGAACGCACCCTTCAGCATCTACAGGAGCCGCTCAGAGTTTATAGTTTCATTTTCCTAAAAATACACCTTTGGGGACCTCAAATTCTTCGCAAAATTCACAACAAACATGAACTTGGACATTTCCCACCCTTCCACCAGCCCTTGGTTCCTCCTGGGAACTCAGAATACGAATGACCAGTCCGCCCGGCCCCAGGTCCTCTTGGGGTGTCTCTTCTCCAGCGGCGACAGTTCTGATGCGAGCGGTGGTGATGGTCTGTGCCGGCCTCCATGGGCTGCATCACATGACGGCGCAGCAGGAGTTTTGTTTCCGAGCCTTAAAAGAAACAAAGGAGCTGAAGGCGCTGAGGCGGGCAGGTCCAGGTTCCGTCTTCAGCAGGCGTCAGGTGAGGGAGCCAGCGAGGCGGGTGGACAGAGAAACCAGAAACAGAGGGAGGCCGGGCGGAGACAGATGCGGAGAGCCAGAGCGTGCTCGTAGCCTCGGGGGAGAGCCCGCCTCCCAGCGCCCAGCGCCAGCCTGGCGTCCTCGCCTTTCTTCACAGCCCTCCACTGCTAGCAGAAGTGGCGGATTCCCATTCAAGCAAGGAACCAAGAGTGCAAACTGGACTGGCTGACCGTCTTCGCGTCCCCACTCCTGGCCTCCCCCAGCCCTGGAGGCTTCCTGGAGGCTGCACTTGCGGAGAGCAGCCGAGGCCCCTGCTCACTTCTGCAGGTGCAGCTGTTATACCCTCTCGTCCCCCCAGGCTCTGTCCCTCCAAGAGACACACAGTGTGTGTGCAGTCCAGGGTCGCTGTCTGCACTGCCACCCGAGCACGGGCAAGAGCCGGTCAGTGAAGGGGCAGCCAGTGGGTGCTACCGGACACTGAAGGGAAAGGAGCCAGCGGCTGAGGCGGTCGGTACCTCAGGAAGCTGCACTGCTGGCATCTCAAGGATTGAGCACTAATTACTCAGCCAAGAGGGGAGAGGGGACAAGTGCCTGTGCTCAGCGTGGAACCAGCATGCGGGGGGCGGGGTGCTTCAGAAAGCGCCCAGCCGCAGCCACAGGAGCGGACGGTACCCGTGTGCACGTGAGCTAATACTGGGGGTGCAGGGGACTTGCCTTGGCCTCCTACGTCCCCACAAGTAGAACCCAAAACTACCCTGATGAAATAAAAATAAACTGCGAAGGACCTGCTAGAGGGAAGACATGGCCGGGAGGGCCGGGCCGGCCGCAGCTACTCACAGTTTTATAGAAGGCTTTAGACTGCGTTCCCAGGACTTCCGATTTGGACACCAAATCATCGAGCTTCTCGCCTCGCTCCAACAAAGACTCCATGGTGTTGTGCTGGACAAAAGACAAGAGGACTCCTGGCTCTGTCCAGTAAGCGACTGCTGACAAGAGCGCCTCATGGAAGCTCGGCGGCCGGGGACGCACCACTTCCGGGCTCCTCTCCAACAGGCAGCCCCTCCTGGTGTGGGGACCGAGCCCAGAGCAGGGCAGGAACTGGCAGGATCCCTAAGGGATCTGCGAGTTCCCACAGGGACACATGAGAGCCCCCTGCAAGCGCCCAGCAGACATACACAAGCCCATCGGAAAGGGCCTCACACATGCGTGTGCATGTAGGTGGCTCAGGCGAACGTGTGCTTGTGTTAATACGTGTGCACACACGGGCAGACGCAGATGCGGGTCCACAGGAGGGGAAAGCCACAGCAGGGCACTGTGTGGCTGGCCTGGGCTGTGCAGCAACCTCGGGAATTCATATCCACCCAGAGCCTGAACGTGACCTGATTTGGGAGCAGCACCATTTTAGATGTCACTAGTTAAGACCAGGTCACAGCGAATTAGGGTAGGTCTGGTACAGGAGAAAATAAGAAACGCAGTTGCACACAGAGAAGAAGGCACACAACCACAGAGACAGAGATGGAGTGAGGTGCCCACAATCCAAGGACTGCAGCACCCACCAGGAGCCCGTGAGGACTAGAACAGATGCCCGAGGCATCCACCCAGAAACAGCCTGTGTGCGCCATGGTCTTGGGCCTCAGAACGGTCCCCGCTGGCCAGGCGTGGGGGTACACACCTGTAACCCCAGCACTCGGGAGGCTGAGGCAGGCAAACTGTTGCAAGTTCAAGGCCAGCCTAGGCCACATAGTGAGTTCAAGGTCAGCCTGAGCTACATAGCGAGACCCTGTCTCAAAACCTAAACAAAACAAAAAATCCACTGTCCCCTGTGTTATTCTGGGTCATCCAGATTGTGGGTGTTATTAACAGGTGTGGGTGACCTTTGCCACCTGACCTCGGAGCCATAGAGCTACCATGCGTCTGAGATGACACAAGTCCAAACTGAAAGCGCTGTAAGTCCAAACAAGCTGGGTGCGGTAGTGTACACTCGTAATCCCTCCACTCTGGGAGGCTGAGGCAGGAGGATCTCAAGTTGGAGCCTTGTCTGGGCAACTTAGCTATTTAGTGAGACCCTGTCTCAGAAAAAGGTGGGGTGGGGGCAGGGCTAGCGATTTAGCTTCAGTACAAAGGAACTGGGTTCAATCTTTAGTACACACTGCAAAAAAGTGCAAACACACCAGATTTCAGGCAGGCTCCACATGCAAAACACCTCCTTAGCGATTTTTAAAACTGACCACATCTGGATACATTTTAAAAATCTAAGTAAATTTCAACTACTTTTATCATTTTAAAATACGGCTCCTATAAAATTTGGAACTACATGACTCCCACGTACAGTGTAACACATTCCTACTGGGTGCGCTGCGGTGGGACAGATCCTCCTCCCCGAAATGACAGCGCAGCGCACTCCGCACTTGGCAAACCCTTCTGGAAGGGGCACGGACGAAGGTCCTCAGAGACACCGGTGGCCCCTTCCCTCCCCGACTATGGTGGGGCGGAGGAGCTCACGTGCGAGCCAATAAGGAGAGGCCTTGGCAGGATGCCCTCTACCCCTACAGGCAGCTGCATGACTTGGCACAAGTGTAAAAAGCCGGCCGGGAGTTAGGGGAGGCAGAGAGGACCCAAGCATGCTGTGCGTGTGGGTAAGGATGCCATGATAAAGCCCATTATTCTGTACGAGTGCGATGCACTCGTGAATAAATAAACTGAACATAAAGTTACCTGGATTCAGCTCTAGAAACCAATCCAGATTTTACAACTGCAGCTAGGACAGGGCTGAGTGAATGCAGCCTGCCCGCTCTCCATTGGAGAGAGCACAGACTGCCCTTGGATGAAAAACCTGGAGACGCGACCTCAGCGGTCAGAAAGGCCAAGAGGTTAGGAGAGACAGTTAGCCAAGGCCACAGAAAGCCGCTGCGGATCCCTCGGCTGCTATTTCTACAGCACAGACCCCAGGGCCCACAAGCCAGCCAGCCTGGGAGAGGCGGTGAGAGCCGGACATGGCACAGCGAGCAGCTCGAGAAACACCGGGTGCTGCGCCCTGGCCAGGGAGCTCCACAGACACACGGCGACAGCATAGGGACCTGCAGACAGGCCTGAGCAGGGCACTGCGCACAGGCTGCACGGAGGTGCACCTTATCCAGGGAGGCTGGGACTGCAGACTTCTGGAAGGGTGACACACTGATGGCTCGGGACCGCTGGATGTGGGGAGGGAGTGCACGCACACACACTCACACACACTCTGCAGGCCTGCAGTGTGGAACCAGGCTGCCTCCTCTGACCCAGACGCTGCAGGGCGGAGCTGCCCTTGAGGCAGCACACTGGGAAGGCAGCCTCAGGCACCAACCTCAGGGTCAGCCGTGGAGCCTCCTGACTGCCGGACTACTGGACAGGGAGGGGCCCCAGGGAGAAGACTCAGAGGCCACGCCAGTTCCCGGCCTGGTCCCCTCCCAACAAGGGCTGCCAGGAACCAGGGGCACAGGAAGAGGCACAGTGTGGTGAAGATGGGGGGTGGGACCACCACTTCCGGGAATGCTGTGGTTACTATTACAGCGAGCACCCGCCGGCATGCGCTCAGCCGCAGACACATCCATCTGCCTTTCAGTTTTTTGGGGTTTTTTGAGACACGGTCTCACTACATAGTCTAGGCTGGCCTTGAACCCACAGTAATCTTCCTGCCTTAGCCTCCTGAGCGCTGGGATGACAGGTGCGCGCCACCAGCTACTTCTCGATTCTTGCCCAGCTCTCCACCTTCCCGCTTACCAGAATGATCTTGGTCTCGTCTAGCTCAGCTTGGACTTTACTCATGGGGTCGGCTTCTCGGGGATTCTAGAAAAAGCCAAAATAAGAACAGAGTCAGGACTGGAGCGGCGACCTGGAAACAAACTCAAATGAGGAAGCTGGACCAGTGTCCAAGGCAGCAGGACTTGTGTTTAAATGCAGTGCAAGACTTTCCTGCCTGCCTGGCGCTGGGCTCAAGTCTGGAGCGGGTCCTCTGTCTTGCAGCAGCAGGTGTGAGAGCTCTGGCAGCAGCTACGTCAGCAGCCCCGAACCTTCACAGTGCTGCCTTCCCAGCTCTACGCGGTCCCCATCCCGGAGGTCTCTTCAAACCCACCTGGTATCTACTGAGGTGCCCCTCCAGGGCCGTGTACTGGATGGTAGCGGGGGACCCTACAGGCCAGTCTATCCTGTCGACCTGCTTGGAGAACTCATCTAGTACCTGAAAGACAACCCAGTCCCCATTAGCCCCCGACCTGTGCTCCCCAGCACCATGACGGGTTCCGTGGCACCCTGACCCCGAGGTGGGTCTCCCTGAATGCCCAGAGCCCAGCGAGGGCAGAAGACGCCATCCAATGACGAAGAGAGAGTCTGACCGACAGCGCCTCTTCCCAAATGTTTCTTATCATCAAAATACATCCTAGGATGTAGGAATCAAAAGTGAAGAATGCTCAAGATGGAATGAACTTCACCTGGGGAACTACAAAAGTATTTGCATTTTAAACGACAGGTTTTAGCCAGGGAGACACCTCAGCAGCACAAGTGCCTGCCTAGTGAGTGTAAGGTCCTGAGTTCAATTCCTGATAGTAAAATATAAAAAAATTTTTTAAAAAATGACAGGTTTTTCAGGAAAGATACTGGTCCTATATTTTTCCAAAGTAATTTTTCAAAAAGGAAAACTAAGTACTTTGGATTTAAGCAACCACTGATGTCACATGCTTGGAACTAAGTGTCTTAGTGCTGTGGGGGATAAAATGAGGCCTCTGTCTTCAAGTTTATAATTAGCACAAAAAGAAATTAAAGTATGGCTGTAATCTCAGCACTTTGGGAAGCTGAGACAGGAGGATTATAAGTTCAAACCCAGCACGCACAACTTAGTGACTTAGTAAGACTCTTGTCTCAAAAAATAAAAAAAAAAGCGCTGGGGTTTGGATGCAGCTCAGTGCAAAAGCCCTAGGTTCAATCCGGTTCAATCCCCAGTGCTGGGAAAAAACGAAATGATAAAGTACGCGAAGGTGCTCACCTCCATGGAGCAACACCTGCCCTTCACAGGGGAAGAGAGCTGCAGCAACTGCAGGAGCAACACGGAGTGCGAGGGACCCCATGTAGGAGGCCAGGGTAGGACACCATCCCCGGGAGCCCAAGGCACAGTAGGCCCTGCTCCTAGGGGAGGCCCTGCAGCCCCATGGCCAGGACACCAGCAGGCAAGGGCAGAGCCAGCACAGAGAGGGAGCCCAGCCGTCTTGGGGGCAGGGCAGGGGGCTCCGAATGATCATCCTCGCACTGTCCAATGTCTGCCCCCGGCACCCTGGGCCAGTGCAGCCAAACCACACACCCACCTTCTCCAGCAAGGAAAAGGCCACCCGGGCTGGGTACTCGCTGTCGGCAATGACCACACCCGCAAGACCATCACTCCGGACGTAGACGTGGCACAGATACTCTGGGGAAACAAGAGACCAACATGAGGGCTCCAGTCTGCATTTAATCCCCCAAACCAAGGTGTTACCAAGCTGGGTAACAGCTCCAGGGTCAAAAAAAGCCCTCCCAAGCTCCATGGTTCTGGACGGGGTCTAGCGGGGGCCACAGCGCAGCTCCCTGCCCCACACCCGGAGCTCGGCCCACACCCGCGCAGGACCAGCAACGCCCAGGCCTTTAAGGTTGGAAAGAGATGCCAGGAGGAGGAACACCCAGGCTCGTGCCCAGGTCAGGCCTGGCTGGGTCTTGATGATTCACAACCCTCTGAGGCTCTGGGTTGCTCCCAAATTGAGGGAACCCCAGACAAGCAGCCCCTACTAAAAACACAAAAACAAAAGCCTTTCAGAGCGGCCTGAAGATGGGAAATGACCTCGCCGGTCTCAGTCTCCCGAGCAGTGGCAACACCGCTCTGGCTGCTCCAGCCTGTGCTAAGCGACTAGGGGCACTGTCTGGGGAAGATTAGTGACTGCTGGCTGAGGTCTCCAGCGTCACTGTACCGCAACTGTCATATGATCAAAAGGTATGGCTTAGCTGGGCGTGGTGGCGCACGCTTCTAATCCCAGCACTCAAGAGGCTGAGGGAGGAATGCAAGTTCAAGCCCAGCCTGGGCAACTTAGTAAGACCCTGTCTCAAAGTTTTAAAAAATACAACAAGGGCTGAGGATGCAGCTGACTGTGGAAGCCCTGCGTTCATTCCCAATACCACAAAGAGTATGGTTTGTACAAGGGCTTCAGCAAAACAGTCAATCCCCAGGACTGCGGGCCGTCAGCATCTGGAAAGGCTTTGGTGATGACAGGTCTAACCACGCCTCCAAAGTAAGAGAAACACATGGACCACATCTTATGTATATGAACCTTCTTGTGCTTATGGATCTGACCCAGAAGACTCCGTGCTAAACAACAGAAAATCAAAACAGGTGGGAAAGACTGTGAGCCCCTGAAGTCAGGAAAGGGATCAATAAGGATGGCGGAGGAGAGGGTGGAGAATTAGCATCTGTGCTCTACGTTTTGGATACATTCCCAAGTAAGCAAAATTCAAACACAGGGCTGAAGTGCACACATCCCACAGAAAGTAAGAATCCAAGTAATGCAATTAGGAAGGGCAGTCAGTCTGCAAGGAACAGACAGAGCACGCTGAAATGATCCTCATTCAGTTTTAATTCCATGACACTCACAGCACAGGCCTCCCATGTAGAGTAATACATCCAACACTGCCTGAGACTTCTGCCATCGTGTTGGTAACAAGTGACCTGGGGTCAGCACACATGTGAGGTGGCCTTGGTTTCTGCCTGACAAACCCGTGTAACTCTCTCCTAATCTGTGTAACTTACAAGTCTAAAACAAATGCTTAGAAACTGTAATATAAGACTTGACTTAGGAAAAAGAAAAAATGCATTTGCAGATTCCTGGTCAAAAAAAAAATCTAAGGTGCATACAATGTGGTGCTACCTGAGCAGGGCTAGCTGGAAGTCTTTTCTGAGAATCTACGCTCTGGAGGGGAAAGGGAAAGATATGAAGGCTGCTTTTGCTGTAAACGGGTCAGACCCTCTTCTTAAATGAGTCCAAGCTTTGGAGGCAACTGCACCCAAGAAGCTTAGCATTGAACAGTGGGCAGGGAATTCTGCACACATAGGAAGAGGACGAGGAGAGCGGAAGATGAGCCAGCAGAGGGGTGGGGTGCATGTCCCCAGGGACAGCTTGTGCCGCTGGGGTGTGGGGACCAGGCAGCACACACCTGGACGCCACGGGGCCTCTTACCTTGCTCTTTGACCGAGGCTCTGCTGCCTTTCGCCGAGCGCTCCACTATCAGTTGACTTGTGAAGGTCATGAATTCCTGAACGCTAAGAAACACAAAACACTTGTTACAGTCTTCTGTCACCTTGTCCCCAACAGTGGAAAGTGACCTCTTAGCTTACAAGGGGCACTGCCTCTTGGTTTCATTCCTTTCCCTCTCAACTTTAATAACAAACACGGAAAATGGACACAAATACAGACAAAGATGACTCATCACCACCACTTACGTCATGCCCATTTGATACCCGCTCACAAAAACAACCCACTTCCAGACTTCTGGAGAATTCTTCAAGCTACAGTCAATTTAACAATTGGTCAGAGTGGCAAATTAGGAGGCAGCTCAAGGCCTGACTAATTTCCAAGAGACAAACATAAAAGGCACCAGAACACTAGTGGCAAAAACGGCTGGGTAGCTCTACCCTAGTTACTGCTGTAGCCACACATCGGACCTTGGCAATGCCACACGTTGCTGCATGAGTGCCAGCTCAGGACAAGCCCCAAGCATTCTGGGAGGGAGAAGAGGAGACAGTCTGCCCAAGACAGGATGTGAGGACAGCCTGTACAAAGGCTGAGGACAAGATTCATCATGGGACAGAGAGATGAGGCCAAGTGGAACAGTCTCTGGAGATGGTCCAGCAGGAGGACAGGTGCTAAGAAGGAACCTCTAACTGGGGATGCAACATCAAGGGGAGCAAGAGCCATCAAAGAGGGTCTTCAGCTAGGAGTCCAAGCCTCCGCTAGGGCCCCCCCAGAGTCACTTGACATTGAGGACCGACTGAGAGCCCCACTCCACACTCAGCAGGTGTCACACAGGTTTCTGCACTGTGTCTCAACTGTGGAATCAAGCCCTGTGTGACGATTAAATGAATTAATATATGCAAAGCGCTTGGTACAATGCGTGGCACACGTATTACTAGCTATTATTATCATGAGTGAACTAGATCACAGAAAAGAAGAAAATAATCTTAGAAAAGTTAAGTCCTCAAATAAGGAGGAACTTGTACAACTAAGAAGATACAGCACATAGAGGTGGACTGTGATTAGACAAGGGAAGAAGTGTACTAACTGTGAGCGTCAGTATACAAGGGCCAAAAGAGCTGGGAAACTATTGAAGGTTTTAAGCTCACAGGCTGGTAATCATGGGACACGAGGGACAGAAGTGAGGCGGTCTCATGAGAAACTGAGATCAGCTGGAACTGCGGCATCTCCAGTAGAGATGTCCCTTTCCTGCTAGAGCTGTGAGTCACCTGAGACCAGTGCAAGAATCCCAAAGAAGTGAGGTGTAAGTCCTACAGGGAAGCCTCTAAGAATCTGCAGTATTATAAGTGGAAAAAAAAAGAAACAGAACAAGAACAAAGTTGGCACCAAACGTTCCAATCAGAAAAAGGCAATAACATAAAGCAGAGACTGGAGGCCAAGGCAAACAAAGGGGAAAATCAAGAACTACAAGACTGAGCCAAAAGATGATGCAGCAGTTCCATTTCTGGATCTACAACAAAGAAAACTGCATGCGGGGTCTGAAAGAGATGTTTGTACACTCGGATTTGCAGGAGCACTTGTATTAGCATGACTGATGCTAAGAATTTAGCGTTGTTTGTAATAGCTGAAATGTGGAAGTGAGCTAAGTGTACACTGGCAGATGCATGGGTAAGCAAAATGTAGTGTATACATACCATGAAATATTATTCGGCCACAAAAAGGAAGGAAATTGTGATGCACTGACCAACAAAGATGAACACTGGGACAGTATGCTAAGTGAAATAAGCCATACACAAAAAGACAAATACTGCATGATTTCATTTACGTAAATTTCCTTAAATAATCACTATTGTACACACAGAATGGTGGGCAGTTAGCAGGGCACAAGGGAAGGAAAGAGAAGTTAGCAATTTTTGGGTACAGAGTTTCAGTTTTAAATGATTAATATGATACAATTGTTCAGTGTATTTTACCACAATGAAAAAAAAAAAGTTTCAACAAAGTAACAGAAATTGTTTTAGATCCAGGTAGCAAAGTACTCATCAAGAAGGAACAGCAGTCCTGAAGCAATGAAAACTGAAAGCAGATTTCACCAGACTTGAGAACAGATCCCCTGTGGGATCCTTTCTTTTTTGTGCCCCAGTCATTCTGCCCCTCTACTAACAAATGGGCTAAGTGTAATACACAGCTTCCTATAATTCAGTGTCAGAAACATTTAAAAATCTGTAAGCCTTACACATCTAACGCTTCCTTCCAGATAGTCACTGGTCCAAACCTTTTGTACCACTAGTGCCAACCACCGACAAGCACACAATCTGGGTTTCAATCTTAACTGGTGGTAGAACCTCATGGAACCTCAGAGATTTCACCCATTAAAAAACAAACAGCAACAAAAAACACAACAAACAAGCCTTATCAACCTCTCTCATACTGAATCGATGGGGAGACCCGTGAGGAAAAACAAAGATGGGTCTCAACACACAGCACTGAGCTCCCAGTCGGAATCAACAATTGGGTGCGAGGTGTTGGTTTAATATATACATTCCTGGGACTCACCCTACTAGCTCAGGACATCTGGGCGTAAACCCTGGGAATCTGCACTATTTCAAAACCCTCTTCTAGTCTTTGTAGGACAGAAGCCTGAAGAACTCTGAGAACAGGACAATATTCTGGGATGGCACCAACGTTTTACGAGCGGATGCTGGATGTTTCCCAGGGATTTGAGACCCAGCCTAGCACGACTCGACCACCGCCCACTCACCTGGACCTCTGGAAGAAGCTGAAGGAGGACACATCGGACGCGGCTTTGAGCAGCACCACCTTAGGCTCGCTTTTGTACAGGACGCTGAGGCTGTACAGCTTCATGGCGCCGCCCTGCGCCGCCCTACGCCGCCCGCCCGCTCAGCCCGGGTCAGCTTGCAAGCCAGCACAGCAGCCGGCTGGTGACGGAGACGCTTCCGCCTCCAGGCTTGGGGTCCACTTCCGGTTCCTGTCAGGGGCCGCCGATGGGAGGGGTCATGACCCGGATGCAGAATGGGGCGGCCGGAAGTGCGACGCGGCGCTGGCTAGGCGCTTGTGCGAGAGCTTGGCCTCCCTCTTCTGCTTAGGAGGAGCCGCGGACGTGGTGCTTTCTCTTTAGGGCGGATCTGGGGTCCCTTCTCCTGGCCTGAACAGCGCCAGGCAGTGCCGTCACTTACCCCCGCTGGGCCGTTAGAGGGGTACTTCCTAACCCGCGTGACCCAGAGAAGCGCGAACGAACTGGCCCAGTGGCTGTTCACCGGGGCCTCTCTAAAAGCAGATCTGAGTGGAGGGCGGGACCTTCTCCTCCACGGCCCGCTCCTGGGCGGGAAGTGCTGTGCTGCCAGGGCTGAGAGAGGCCCTGGGCTGCCGGGACCCACAACACAGGACCCTGAGCCTCCGCCCGGTCGCAGACTTTGTTCATCTCAGAAGGGAGCAGAAATTCAGCTTCGCTGTGCAAGGAGCAGTTTGGTGCAGTGAGCTAATTTTGCTTCAGTTAAAATCATGCACGCCCACGGATGGAGATGAGCGAGACATAGTACCCTAAAGGTGCCACTCCTTGCCAGTTTCCTGTGTGTTAAGTGTCATTATGTAATCACAATGGACCTTGGTTCCGGGCATGGCAGTGGGTGCCTGTAGTCCCAGCTACCCAAGAGACTGAGGCAGAAGGATCTCGTGAGCCCAGGAGTTCGGGGCCAGCCTGGCCAGCAACATAGCAAGATCCTATATAAACAAAAATACTCTTGGCCTCTGGAAATTGGCAGTATGATCACACAATCATACTGGAGCATCCAGATCTGAAATGATGGGGGAAAGATGATACATTCGAAAATCAACAGATTCACTCCACAAACATTACTGTAAATCAGGGCTTCTCAACCTCCAGCCCTATTGATATTGTGGGTTAAGGGGCTGGGGATTTAGCTCAGCGGCAAAGCACCTGCCTGGCAAGCGCAAGGTCGTGAGTTCGGTTCC